TGTGTGAAGTGTCATATGAGGTCCTGCTTATAGCCTCTCCAAATGGCCACATGAAAAGGCAGCATGAAAAGTCAGCCGTCAGCAATAAGATGTAAAATGAAAGTCTTTCCTGGAAGGCGTCCACAGGGCTGCTGTTGAAGCATGAAAAAGAGAGCTTGAGAGAGAGAGAAGCTCAAATGCTTCACACTTTCTCACCTTAGCACCTGAACAGTTGCAGAGGCAGTAATCAAAAAATACTCCCCAAATACAATCAGTGTGTCTGTCTCGTAGGTGCTTTAAATAATCTTACAAACATTTTGTTTTGAGGGCCATGGGCAAGGTTTTGCAGCAGCAGTACGTCGTGTACTTATTTGTCTGACCCTGCTCTCTACAGCTAATAACACAGCTTGACACGATTGTGCTGTGAGGGGGGAAAAAACAAACAAACACGGGTATTGGGATTGCAAACATAACAATTTGTGTGAGCACTTCTTTAAGATATTTAAAAAAAAAAAAAAAAAAATGGTCTGGCTCTGCATTGAATTCATGAGTACCCTCGCAGAACATTTAAAGTTGTTGCAATGCTTTAATATAGCCTCAGTTGCTATGCAACAACAACTTCCAGGTACGTGAGGGCTTGCCATGTAGGCAGTGATGGATGATGTTTTAAGCAGTTCTGAATGAGTAACAGAGTTTGTCCACAATTCTTAACGGTTGTTCTTTTCTTCCTCTTTTTAAAGACATGTCTTCAAACGATTGAAGTTCCTGGGTAACAAGACCCTTTCTCATGTGGCCACGCTCCTCTTTCTGACGGTCTGGCATGGCCATCACTCCGGTTACATCCTGTGCTTCTCCATGGAGTTCTTCATCATCACAGTGGAGAGACAGGTATGCTGCAGATGCAGAAGCAATATGTGGAGAACAGAAAATGTATGTGCAGGAAGCTCAAAAAGTATAAATATGTATTTAATTAGATGGAAAATGAGTTGTTTACCTCTTCGTGTTAATCATACTTTCTCATTAATGTAAAGTTGCACTTTGATTGCATCATACAAACCTTATGTTTACTTTTATTATCAAGAGACAGACTCTTATTACTATTGATCAAATGCACCTCACTGCTGAATGAACCTGTAATTACATATTGACTCAAGTCACCATTTTATTGTTTTATTGATGTATAACCGTATAACCATTATGAAATGTGTGTGTGTGTGTGTGTGTGTGTGTGTGTGTGTGACAGGCCCTGGCACTGGTGAGAGACAGTCCTTTGCTGTCAAAGCTGGCCAACAGTGCGCTCTACCCTCTCATCTATGTAGTCCAGCAGTTTTTCCACTGGCTCTTCATGGGCTACCCGTTAGTGCCATTCTGCCTCTTCACCTATGACAAATGGCTCAAGGTAACTCGCCGCTCACAGACATCACATGGCTTATGATGAATATGTTTTATCTCATATTTGATATTGAACTCTTGCTACCTGTGACCAGTTTTGATGCATCAGTAATGCAGACGACACGGTTTCAATAACCAGGTGTTAAGACTTAGAACAGCGTGTGTTGAAATGCAATCTCAGAGCCTGCTTCACCAAATTTTCATCACGATATCATCAGTTTGCGATGCGAGATCATAAACAAATCTCTTTCATTTTACATCTAGTCCAAACACACACACAAGAGCATGCAGAAGATCTTTCAAATCTAAAATGGAACTGAAGTTTGAACAGCCATTTGTGAAACAGGAGTTTTGCCTCCACACTGCAGTTAAGATCTTGAGTTATTTTAACGGCACATCACTTTAGTATAAACATGCCCCGGGAGGACTGGTTTCAGCTAAAGAAAGCTTATCAGATTCGCAAACACTGCACAGCGGTTTATCAAACTGTGAGACAGGATTTAACTTCCCCTGGCAGATATCAGTCTGGAAATCATTTCTCATTTCTTCACGATAGATCAAGTCAAATGAAGTCTTTATTTATACAGCGTGAATTAGAAATGTGCTTCTGGAGGCTTTGCATTCTGCACAGTGTATGACAACCTTCTTACATTTTGGGGGGGAAAAACTCCTTGAACAACTCTTGATATATAGGGAGGGGAAAAAGAAACACCTGCATTAGCCAGAGAAGAAATGTATTCAGTAATGTCAGTGTTGAGAATAAACTGAACAAGTGACAGTAAAAGGACCACTAATACTATTCAACTACTGTGCAGCTTTTCACCAAGTAGGGTATCAGGACAAGCATGATCATCTTATAAAGAAGTCTACCTGGAATGTGCACATGCAAGCATCTGATTGGACAACGCAGTGCTTTGCAGACATAACGTTTTGCACATGTATGGAAGCTGTCGTCTCAAGCGGGTGGCCCGGGTTCAACTCCCACTTGTGGCCTCTTTCCCGCATGTCATTCCCCTCTCTCTCTCTCCCTGATTTTCGATTCTATCCACTGTCCTATCTATCCATTAAAGGCACAAAAAGCCCAAAAATAAATCTTAAAAAAAAAAAAAAGTCTGTGCAAAGTGTTATGGAGACAAATCAGGTTTCATATTATGAGGAATTAAAGTTAACTTCTCTGTCTCTTTTATTTTTCAGGTGTATTCATCCGTGTATTTCTGCGGTCACGTATTTTTCCTCGTAGCCTTTTTAATCATGCCATACCTCCGGAAGGCGCTGGTGCCGAAGAAAGAACGGAGCCAGAAGCAGGATTAAAAGTCTTAAAGGTACTAAGACCTGGCATGGTAAGCAGGTGCTTCTGTTCAATGATGTTCTAGAAAAGGGAAACAAGACAAGGATGAATGTTTGAACATATCTATGTGTTTTCCTCCAGGTCTGTCTAAGGCTGAATATCCACTGAAGGGAAATGTGACTTTCAAGGAGCAGAATGGAAAATATTTTAAGGCCTTTAGTAATATATATATATATGTCCATGTAAAAATAAATTTCTATATATTTTTGTGTTTTAAATGGGAGGGTGTTTTTATAAACATTTTGAGAAATGTTTACAGGAAATGACCATCGTGCCACATGGGGTGAGCCAATCGGGCGGTTTCCTGTCAGTTTTTCTTTCCTCCTTTTTTTTGTTTTATTATTAAAAAAGAGAACTTGAGAGACTTACATGCTGTCGACAAAGATTTGCACTCACCAGTCACGGGTTCAGAGTCTGTCATTGGCTCTGATGTTTTTTTTGTTATTGTTGTTGTTTCATTTCTGTCTCAAATCACCCAAAGCACCCACATCTATTGAGCAGCAGCAGGTTTTCACAGGAGTTAAAAGCAAAGCACACTTTCTGATATAATAATACAAAAGGCTCCAGCTTTCTGCAAAACTCAGACAATAATGATCGTAATAACAGTAATCAAAGGGTGTTGAAAATGGCTGTCGGTGGTTATAAAGGCACTGTAAATCACTTACTGAACACTAACCCCTGAGTCAAATGGCCTTGTATTAATGAATGTTTTTATAGAACTTTTGTTTTGGTTATAAATTGGTTTTGGTGACGAGAAAAAAACAAAAAAACACTTGATTTTTATAGCGTTTTAACAGCTTTTATGAAGAAAAACAAACATTTTGTAGCTTTGGATAAGATTTCATGAATGAATTTACATTGTTCTCCTGCCTTTTCCTGGTTTCATCTTTCAGTTTTTTGTACCTTCTTCTTCGCCCTCTGTTCAGCTCTGTGATATGCAGAAGTATAAAGTGGATCATTTCATAAGGAAGCATGCAAACTGCTGAAAGTACAGCCACCACAGTTATTCTGGCTCATCATGTATTCACTTCAATTTCCGTGAATATCGCGGTTTAAAAAAAAAAAAAAAAAAGAAAATCAAGGAATCATCTCATTTTTGAACTGGAAACAACAAAACAAGACGGACAAACGTGAGACTGAAAATCCACTTTTGTGTTTCACCTATGGCCTGTTCCTCTGCTTCAACAGCAGGCAGTGATTTAAAAAAGAGAGTGAAGTGGAAGCATCCCATCCAACCGTGGGGATGCCTCTTTTTACGCTGTGTAATTGAATTGTTTCTCGGGCAGGAGGCTGGATTGTCTGATCTGTGTCAAGCTGAAGGAAGGCCTGCCCGGCACACACATGGAGAGGATGGACCTCACTGTAGCAGCAGTCCAGATCTTTTTTTTTTTTTTGTAATATTTATACATGACATGGTGATTATTAATTGATGTGAATTGCTATTTCAAGAGACTACTTTTTGCCTTATTCCTTCCAAATGTACAAAGAAAAAGAAAACTTGGAATAGGGAGGAATGTGTGTGTGTGTGTGTGTGTGTGTGTGTGTGTGTGTGTGTGTGCGCGCGCGTGGTTGGGGGGGGGGTTTGGGTGGACTGGGTGGACGTAATTTTCAAATACAATTTTATAATGTTCATTAAAATGCTGCATTTCAAGCGAAGAGGCCTGTGTGTTGTCATTGTGTAAAGGGTTGATGTCCCAGGAGTCTGACTAGAGTTCTGTAGGGCGAAAAGGGGGCGATATGACGTCATCTTGCAGTCTCGTTTTAAAGGCAGTGGGAATTAAAAAAACAAAAAAAAAAACAACAACAACCAAAAACAACATTTGGTCATTACCGGAGGAAGAGGAGGGAATGTGTCCCTTAAGAGTTAGAGTCCTGTGCCTGAAAAGAAACGTGATGATGAGATGAATTGCTGTGCTGGGGTCTGAGTCACTCTCAATGTGCGTTCAACAGCAAAAAACAGTCAGAGCAGCAGAGAGAGAGAGAGAGAGAGAGAGAGAGGAGAAGGACGCAGTGTGGGCGGGTTAAGAAACGCCGAGAGGGAGGGGACGCCAGCGTAATATTCCCACCGTTTTTTTCCTCCTCTGTAGAGCAGAAAAAAACAAGGGCATCCATATCGCTCTCTTCGTCGTCCTTACATCTCACCAGCCTTAAACTAGCCATTTTCTCCTCGGCTTGCTTGCTCTGTGTGTGTGTGTCAAAGAGTACCCGTGTGTGTTTGTGTGTCAGTGTGTGCCCTCCTCCCTACCTGGAAGGTTCGGAGAGTTTTGGGGTTTTTTTTTTTGCAGGGGGGGGATCACCGAGCCGAGAGAGGCGGATGCTGCGAGCGTAGAGAGGCAGGGTACCAACCAGGAGCATCACCGCACTCACCACGGTAATGTCAAACCTGTCTCCGTCTAACCTTCATTTCTGTCCTCTCTGTCTCTGTGCTCCAGCAGAAGCTCTCTAACACGACATAGGCGGCCATTGGAGCCCAAGCTGGTTAAATGTGTGTCAGCAGCAGCCTCATTATTGTCGCATAGCATGTTTCTCTGTGTAGCCTGAACAACCTGTGCACTAGATGGTCTATCCTGTTGTATATTTAGTCCTGTTTTAAAGTACTACGTGTTTCCCTGTTGCCTTTACAGGACTGCAGCAATGTTAGAGGCTGTTAGTGTCAAAAGAGAGCAGACAAAATACCTCCCCAAGGACTCATTTTTCAGTTGTGACCACAGGATAAACAGCAGCTGCGTTTCCTTTTTAACCTTAAAAACCACAATTAAAAACGTGAGGAAACACCCCTCACAACGATGAGCAAAACCCATTACAGTGTCACACTCACGTCCAGACCAGGTGTGTGTGTGTGTGTGTGTGTGTGCACACGCTCCTTTTAGGCTGGTCTAGGATCCGCAACTGCAAGCTGTGATTTTGAGGAAAGCCAGAAAGCAGCATTATGGTAAAACAATTATCCATGCAGATCCACATACACCTCACTACGCAGGGCTTTATCTCACCATATGTAGACATGTTACTCCCATGCACATACACGAATACAACAAGGTATAAAGAAACCCCTATCTGTGCACCATCTGAAAGGCCTGACCTGTCTCTCTCTCTCTCTGTGTGTTACTACTTTACCTGTCTCTTCCAGTGCGTATCGGTTAATGCATGTACTGTTCCTTCCTCACCCCACCCTGTTGCCCCCTCTACCTTTGCCTCTACCTCTCCTTTCCTCCCTCAGATGGACAGAATGAATTTTCTCTCCTTCTTCCTCCTTTGCTTGACTTCCGTTGCCACTGGCAACAAAGGTCAGTTCCTCATCGTTTTGATTGTTAATTGTGAAGTGTTGAGGTGATGGTCATTTCGTCATGATTTTCATCTTGTAACTTTTTTTTTGCGATATCCTAACTAAATCATTTTTTACTTACTACAAAAACAGCTTTTCATGTGACATACATACATGTTCGTTCATTGAGTGTCTCGTGACCCCGTGTGTGCATGTGTCTGTCTGTCGCCCAAGCTGTCACTCTGAGAAAGATGATAAATCTTTTTCCCTCCTCTGAAGCAGATTTATCATCCACGACTCTGATTCAACATCATTGTTTCAATGATTATCACGCTGGGGGAAGGAGAACGACACAGACAGCAAGGGAAGGAGAGTGTCAGGAGGAGGTGGAGGGAAGGACGAGGAGATTGAAGGAGGGATGGGATGTCAAGGGGAAACAAGAAGGGAGAGAGAGAGAGAGAGAGAGAGACGTTAGGACAGACATAGGAGAGGGAGCCGTGACAGGAGAGGAGAGGACGTGGTCGAAAAAAGATGCATGGAGGAGGAGGAGGTGGTGGGAGAGGTGGTACGTGAGATCAGGTGACACGAGGGGAAAAAGGAAAAGATACCAGAGTGCGTGTGCGTGTGTGTGTGTGTGTGTGCGCGTGTGTGTGTGCGTGTGCGTGTGTGTGTGAGGGAGACAGACAGACAGACAAGGAGGGGTGAGGGGGGGGAATAGTTGTGGAGCGATAGAGTGACAGAGAGGGAAAGAGTGCCAGCAGAGACAGAGAGAGAGATGGAATGGGTTGCCTCTCAATCTGTAATCCTGTGTGTAATCCACAGGCCTGATGCTCAGATTAATGCTATATAGCAGGGGAGGGAGGGAGGGAGGGAGGGAGGGAGAGAGGGAGGCGGGAGATCAACTGAGGGGACAGAGGGCACGAGATAAATGACCAAAAAAGAGACATGACAGTTGAGCGTGGAAGTAGAGGAGGAGGAGACGATGTCACTCCGGACGTTTATAGGAGAGGATGAATATCTGAGATGAGATCTGGGTATTGAACCTCAACTCTATAAGACCCTCGGTTTCAAAAATAGTCTGATAAAGAGCAATCGGTCAAATTTGTGCTCTAATACTTTATTTAAATCTGCCCCCCCCCCCTTTCCCACTTTTTTATTTAGGCTAAGTACTTGTTCTACTGCGTGATTTTGACATTAAAACCAAACCAGATGTCCAGCATTGAGAGTTGTATTAAAAATGAGCTACATAGAAAAAGATATTGGAAGAAAAATTTAGATTTTGTTTTCACTCAAAGGGCTTTTATTGATTTTTCTGCTTATTATTTTCTCATTTTATGGTCTGTTACACATCAGATTATCCTGAAAAAGTCCTGTTATGGTTTCAAAGAGCTGAGTTATTGTAACTTAATTGTATTTTTTATTTTGGCTGGCCAGCAGTACAACACCCAATGATGTTCAATCATTAAGCATGTTGAAGACAGAAAGAAGAGACCCCATTGGGGGAAGATTAGCTGCTTTTGATTTTTCAGTTTTGTCAGTCACCTTGATTAAGCATCCTATTGTTTCCTCACTGTAGGAGGCATAAACTTAGTATAAAAAATACCCCTGATTACTGCTCTAATACATTTAAAATCCTGTTATTAATGAAATCTGCTAAAAAGTATGAAGTCATATTCATGGTAGCACAAAGCCTTATTTTAGATTTGCTTATGGAGTCAATCAATGTTATAGTTGTTACTCTGTAGCAGCATTTCAACGTGGTTGAGGTTTAGACATTTTTATTTTTTTTATTTTCTTCATGTAAAATCAGTGTAGAATAAGAAGTACAAAAGTTTCCAGTAAAATGTAACAGAAGGAGTTTGAATTAAAGAGAAATGTGTTAGCACACTTATCTTGATTAAATGATTTATCATCTATATTTATTCCTAAGGAAAGATGCCAAACATTTGATGGTTCAATGGTCTGCAGTGTGAGGAACTTAAATCCTTTCAGTAAGACACTGAACATGTTTAGGTTTGGGACTTCCTCCAACATTAGAAAAGCTGTTTGGCTAATTCTTAGAACATTTTTTGAAGTTCCTTTGATGTGTTTTATACCAAAACTCTAATCGAACACCCAAAAAAACAAATCGACATATTAATCAATAGGAAAAATAATTGTTTGGTGCAGCCTTACGTGATAGCTCCAGTTGACTTAAAAACAGAGCTTGAGTTAAAATACTGATAGCAGCTCAGATATCAACCTAGTATGGTACTGGCTCTGTAATCGAATTTTCTCGTAAGACTCTGCCCTGCTTTTGAAGATAGAAGTCTGATCAGATTCAGAACCGGCAGCATTTCTCTTTTGTTGACTCTCCTCTCACAGTCGAGACGGCAGAATTAGTTCCAGTCAGATTTTGTGGAAAATGTTCAGTGTCGACAACAAAGCAGCAGCTAAACACAGGTCCTGTTCCTCTGTCTGATTTCAAACTCTACAGCTTCAGTTTCACTGATTGAGGACAACAAAGGGGGGGCACTCCGGCTTTTTTTTTTTCTCTTCTTCTTCTTCACTTTGCTGGAGTGTAAAATCGTCATCCTTCTGGCTCATTAACTTGGCCTTTGATCATCCGGCACAGAACATTCAGCACAAAGATGAATAATTAATCTGCAATTAAAGGTTAAACTCACAGTAAACCTCAGGCATTAGATTTGGCTGTTTTTCAGTGCATTATTGTGCGGCGCCTGTGGCCGGCCAGTTTGGCTGATTGATATGAGCAATATAGCTCCCTGTGTGTGATAAGGTGAGATCAGACCGGCTTTAATTATACTGCCAACCAGGGAGGAGAGCAAAGGGAACAAGAGAAGGTCTGCATGGAGAAAGGGAAGAAAGAGTGGGGAAACTATGCGGGTGTGATTAAATTTGTGTCTTTGTGGTCACACACATACATTCATTCTGTATTTCTCTACTTATGCACGCTCTCACCACATCCTCAGCCATAATGGAGGGTTAAAAATAGACACATTGGTCCTTTATAATTGCTCCGTTTAACCCACAGCCTCTCTGGTCTCTCTCTTCTTCTTCTTCTTCTTCTTCTTCTTCTGTGCCGTTTAGCCAATAAGCACAAGCCATGGATCGAGACAGAGTACCAGGGGATTGTCATGGAGAACGACAACACGGTGCTGCTCAATCCCCCTCTCTTTGCCCTGGACAAAGACGCCCCACTACACTATGCTGGTAACGCAAACAATGACCATAGGATGAGAAAGAGGGAAACAATAATGTATGAATTTGCTCAGGACTTTTAGAAAAAAGGTCAAAATAAAGTGCTTGGCCAACCAAATGAATATTATCTCACCAGGCCTTATTAGTAAACATGATTTTTTTTTTCTCACAGAGAGGAGTTAGGAGCTAACAGATTGCTGCCATATTTCCCAAAAGACAGTCTGAATATTAATGGCAATGTATTCAGTCACAGAGTCCCCCTATTTTTAGCCCATCATAGTGTAATTCAACCCTTCATCTCAGGGGCAATCTGCAGCACTCGCCCTGCCTCTGCAGCCTGATGAAATAAGGTTGTCATGTTTGCACTCCTGGAAATAACCATGTTCAGTCAAATTATAAGAGTTCTGCTAGAATTACTCGAGCTTGTGTCAAGAAGGAGGAGAAAATTAGCTGTTTGAGCAAGAACCGGTGTCAAGAAGAAGGGAAGATCAGCCGGCAGGATTTATTTGGCGCTCGGCTGAGGTCTATTTTACTCTGTGCTTAAAATGATTGTGAAAATTAAGTATCACTTAAAGGAGGAGTGCAGGATATCTGTGTGCACTCATAATAATAATCTGAAAAGAGATTTAAATTTGAAGCTACTTAAGAAGAAAAAGATATACTTCATTAATCCTGCGAGGGGAAATTCAATTACAAGTTACAGTCAATTGTTTCAATTACTTACTTACATATATAGAATCTGATTATCCCCTCGAAATGATAGGTGATTTCTGTTTTTTATACAGAATGACAACTTAGATTGTGAACATTTGGGTTGGACTCTGGGCTGATTGGTTGATAGAATTTCGGGCTTTATGTCACATGTTTTTGTGTCTCTGATGATATGATGAAGGCCATTTTTATTAAGATGTCTTTTAGTAACAAATTCATACATCTTCACTGAAAAATGACAGAAAGAGAACCTTTAATAACACAAATGATTGGGACAATAAAAAACTGGAAAGGCAATTAAAAAGTCAAATGAATGTTTTACTAGAAAAGAAACAGAGAAATCCCTGAGGTATAAAGAATCATTTTAGCAGAAGTCTGGGACAGCTGACAGACATTACACACTCATCATTAGTTTTTAGTCCAGACTGTGGAGTTGTTGTTTTTTTAACCAGGATGTAAGGTTAAGTGCAAACACCTACAAAATATGCTGGAGGTTGATAGCATGCTTGAAAAGTAATTTGAAAAATCTATCCTAAATCTACTAAAGCTAAAGCCAACAGGAAGCCATGCAAAGGGCAAATGTGCGGTTTTATGATCTCTCTTAGTCGTTTGTTTAGGCTGCCAATCAGACAATAGAGACATTGACATTATAATATATCAGAAGAAGAATAAAAACCAGAGTAAGTGAGAAAAGTCTACCATCGACCATGTTGACATTTCAGACGATTGATTTATGAAATAAAACTGATGATATGACATCACTCTGTTTTCACAGAGTCTATCATTTGGTCTGTTTCAGCTTCTTTCCTCACACTCGTCTCTCTCCTCTCTCCAAGGTGAAATCTGTGGCTTCCGGGTTCACAATGGCCCCTCAGGTTCGGGTTCGGTCCAGTTTGAGGCCGTGGTTCTGGACCGCTCCACTGGAGAGGGTCTGGTCCGATCCAAAGAGCCGCTGGACTGCGAGAGCCAACGGGAGCACAGCTTCACCATCCAGGCCTACGACTGTGGAGAGGGACCCGATGGAGTCAACAGCAAGAAATCACACAAGTACGTTCATCCTCTTCCTCTTTTCTCCGACGATGGAACTCTGCTTCTGTCACTTAAGGAGGAAAATCTGATTAAATGTTATTCCTGACTATAAACATTTCATAGTAAGCGTTAATAATGGGATTAAAAAGTCAGCTTTATAACGTTAAAAAAATATCAAGATAAGCAGATAAGAGGCATATTTGTGAGATAAAAAGTCAAAATGATTCATGTTAAGGTTAAAAATGTGAGATAATAAGTTGTAATTATATTATATGTATAAAAAGCCTTAGTTGTGAGCTAAATTCTGTGAATAATGAGATAAAAAAAGTAAAAGTGATTAGATAAGATTGAGTAAATGAGACGAGCAGTTAAGTAAGATGACAAAAGTATGAGGAAAGTCGTAATAATGAATCCATAAACTCTAAATAATGTGATAAAATGTCAAAACTATTAGATGTAAGTCATAATTATGAGATAAAAAGTCATCAAATGTGGTCCTATAATAATGTTTTCTTTTTCAATCTTCTCTTTCATATCTCTATTTCAAACTACTGATTTACAGTGGCAATATCTTTTGGACCCATTTTCCTCTCATAGAGTTCTTGTATAGCACACATGGGCCTCCGTGTCCTCCCCTCTAAAACAGATATTTTTTTGTTTTAAACAACAATTACAGCCTCTATGTGCTGCTCCTCTGGCTGTGCGCTGTAATGACCATCCAGCCTGTTCTTGCCTCCTAATGTGACGCTAATAATCCCTTTCCCTCGGCTTGTGTTCTGCCTCCCACCCCTCTTTCCCTCAGGGCCACCGTGCATGTTCGTGTTAACGATGTCAACGAGTTCTCCCCCGTGTTCGTCGAGCGTCGCTACGAGGCTTCGGTCCCAGAGGGGCGTCTGTTTGACCGGATTGTGCGTGTGGAGGCTCTGGATGCTGACTGTTCCCCTCAGTACAGCCAGATCTGCTTCTATGACATCATCACTCCCAATGTGCCCTTCGCTATTGACAATGATGGTGAGACATGTTTTCTTTCTACCTCTTGGTGTTTGTATTTCTCAAAACCCCATCAGTGACCGTATCGTTTCCTTTTTTTTTTTACACTGTCTGAAATCTCTGCTCTATATGGCCTCGGTTAAAATAAATCTGTCATATAACTGCATTTTTCTTATCATCATGTTACTTCAGCATCTTTTGCGCTATTCACCACTGCACTGTTTCATATTTAGTCATGTAAATATTAGTCTTTTCTTATTATGTTTATTGTTGATATTTAATCTTGTACCTGTTCATAAGAGAGCACAGTTCACCGAAGTTAAATTCATTGTGTGTGTACGCATACCTGGCCAATAAATCTGATTCTGATTCTGAAATCATTAAACACAATATTCAGCTCAGTTTTCAACCCCAGCTGTTCCAATTTCATGTGGAACAAAAACACACAGACTGCAGATGCAGCGGAGGTGACAGAGTGAGATCAGCTACTTAATATCCTCACAGGTAGAAACCAAAAAGACGTTAAAATAGACCCTGTGTGGGCGGACTATTGTTCTGTCTCTGCATAAAAACACTGCAGCAGCTGTTCTGTTTTATATAGCATCAGTTCTTGTAGCTTCCCTAAAATCTTCTCGTTACGTCCATTGACCGGCTGCTGGGAGATCAATTGAAATGTGACACAACAGCCGAAGAGGGCCGTGTTTAAGGATGACTCTGCAGAATTGTCCTGGCCTCACTTTTAAGAGGATGAAACGGCTCCTTTCTTTCTGGTTTTTTGGGTCAGACTGGTACAGCAGCAGCAGCAGCAGCAGCAGCTCAGAGACCTTTTGTTCCAACCTTGTTCCGATGCTGTGGGCTTGTCATTGTCTATTTTCCTTTTTCCTTACTTTGTCTTTTGATATCTCTTTATCCCTCTGTTTCGCCTCTCGCCATCTCGCAGCATCATCTGTTGTAACTATTGTTTGTCAGCTGGCATGCTGAGCGCTGTCAGCCAATCAGCCTTTATCTCTAAAAAACAGCAAAAAACCTTCATATTTTATTCTCTCCTCTGCACATTATCCTCCTCCATGTTTCTTCCGTCTATTCTTGACTTCAGCAGAACAGGCTCTGTGTACGTGCAGAAAGAGGCTTTATCAGTTGGTGTTCATTTGTGATGGGTTTTTAATTATGCAAGCTTGTTGTTGATGACTAACGCTTCTATTCCTGTTTCCATTTTGTTCTTTGATTCATTCTTTTCTCATCCTTTTTTTTTTTTTTCTTTGTCTTGCACCGTCTCCTAGGTAACATTAAAAACACAGAGCCTTTGGATTCCAAACATCAGCGTGTTCACACCTTCTGGGTGACCGCCTTCGACTGCGGGAAGAACCGGGCTCAGGCTGATGCCCAGGTCGTTGTCACCGTCAAACCATCATGCAAACCCGGCTGGATGGGTAAAACACAGCTCTCTTTGTGTCCCAATAATCCTATTTAGAAAACTTGCGAGGCTTTAGGGATGAGTTTTTAATAATGGTATCACTGAAACTGGAATGTGCGTGGGCAGGCACTCAGATGAATCACCTTCGCATGTTTATATATCAAGAGCAGAGTTTTAAAGAGGAAGAGCTGCAGCCAAGTTATATCAAGGCAACCCAATTAGAAAAACTGTGAAAATATGTTGATACAATCATACATATTACTACGACACTCTCACTGACATTAGATCTCTCTACAGGATGAGCAGGGACTGTTTACTGACAGACTTTCAAGTTCATGCATTTGACATGTTGCAATTTTATACATTCATTTATTTAAATATAAAATCTGATACAGTGGGGCGCAGATGGACTAGCGGTTAGGTCTTGCCCGTGTACGGAGACTATTGTCCTCCAAGCAGACAGCCCGGGTTCAAGCCTGACCTGCGGCTCCTTCCCCACATGTACTTGCCCTCTCTCTCTCTCTCTCCCAATTTCCTTCTCTATCCATTGTCCTATCAAATAAAGGCAAAGCCCCCCCCCCCAAACAATCTAATACATTGCCAAACAACTGGTATTGGTATTTCTCGCTATTTCTATGTTAGAACATGAAAAGAAATTGCCTACTCAGGTCCAAGTTGAAGTGAGTGAGTTGCTTAAATTGTCCATGCTGGATGATCAGAGTGGCAGCATTCAAAACAAGCAGCAGCATTGATTTGAAAAGGTCTATGTGAGCAGCTCTCAGAAGGGCAAAGCAAATTAATTTCTCCAGCCTGCAGCAGTCGGTTGAAGTTGAAGTATTTGATAGTGCATTGAATTGAATTGTATACCCATATTTTGTAAACATTGCATAAAGTTTTCATTTTGAATCTGGGTGTTGCACAGTGAAGTGTCTGGTTGTGTTCTACGTGTAATATATCGACGCACTGATTTTAGGATGGACCAAGCGCGTGGAGTACACGCCTGGGTCTGGAAGCATCCCCCTGTTCCCCAGCCTTCATCTGGAAACCTGTGAGGAGACTGTCTGGAACATCCAGGCCACCGTAGAGCTCCAAACGGGCCACATCGGAAAGGGCTGTGACAGAGACAGCTACTCTGACAGATCAGTGCGACGGCTGTGCGGTGAGATCTTGTTTTTACACCTCAGACCTCTTGATTTATTGGGTGACAAAACCTTTCTTTATCAACAACCTCTCTCTCTCTCTCTCTCTCTCTGTCTCTCTCTCTGTCTCTCTCTCTTTGTTGTTCCTCAGGTGCTGTGAGGGGTGAGGTCGACCTCCTCCCACCTCCGTCCCCCGCTGCCAATTGGACAGCTGCTCTGCCCACTCTCCCCTCCTCTGACTCATCTCTGGTCTTCTCCTTCAACGGGTCAAACCACGTTGCAGTGGTGCCCGATTCTGTTGTCTCGGCTTTATCGGGCGACCACTTCACCCTGCAGCTGTGGATGCGAAGGGGCGGAGCCAACATCCAGCCTGCGACCACCCAGACCAGAGGAAACCGCAAGGAGGAGGAGACTATTGTGTGCAGCACTGTCAGGAACGGTGTGTATTCTCCTACATTGAATGCATTTTGAACGTTTTTTAAACGTAAGAGGAATATTTTCAGAGTTAATTTGGTAAAAAAAAAAGGTGAAAAATAACTGGCTCCACCCCCAGAAGGTGACCCTGGGAACATCTGGGAAAGTAAAAAAAAAAAAAAAAAACAGCTAGTACCAAGGTGCTCTTGGGAGCGTCTCTGAACCCCAGTTGTTCCACTTCAGCAGCCAAGTGGACTGAAAACACTGTTTTCTGTAACTACTGTGTTTGTATCATTAAAGTGTTTTCTGTGTGACTTTGAGGGTCCCAGTGCTAAAATTACGCTGTTTCAGCAAACTCTCCCTCTTTGAAAAACAGACAGCTTAAAACATACTGGAAGCTTTAATTGCTTGTTTTAATTACTTACTGTGTTTATGCTCTACATTCAGATGTTTTCATAAGACCACTCTGACCCACTCACTTTTCCTCTGCACTGTAGACGACTCCTTCTCCCACTACTCGCTCTCCGTCCACGGCTGCCGTCTCTCCCTCTTCTACTGGCCCGACGTCTCCGCTGCACGGCCCGTCAAGTTCCTGTGGAAACTGGAGCAGGTACTTTGGGAACTGCAACACTTAGGCTTTGATGTTCTCACACTGTTTTTTTCTATTTTATTGGTACCTTTAAATGAGGCTGAAATGGAAGAAAAAGAATAGTTCAGTTTTTATATTTGTGCTTGCAAAAGTTGTGGCTCATAGCCCCGAGGGATTACAAGACACAAATATTTAACGTAACATCCATTTTCAAACAAAAAGAAGAAAAACAACAAGAACTTTTCAAGTTATGCAGGAACACTTCACCTGAACTCTTTTCTCCTCTCAAGGCTCTCTGAAAAATACATACATAAAATGTTTTATGCATCTTAGTGTGCCAATCTCTTTTCACCAAATCAATTTATGTTTTTATCTTATGAAGTGAAGTACTCTGCAGATCCAAATAGGAAGGACAATAGAAAACAAATTGGAAGAAATGTTCATGTCATTCAGACAGATCACTGAACATGTCAACATGAAGTGGTGAAATATTTACAACCCTGATTTCTTAAATTCTTAAATATATCATCTTTGAATAATGATAGAGGCAAAAAGTTACATCCCTGCGTGTGTGTGTGGTTGGGTGTTTTTGAGGGCTAAGAGGGGTTAAAGGGGGAGGTTTGTTTTGACTGGAGCCAACGTTTCCAGACAGATTGAAGCAGCATGGATTAAAGGATGTTGAGCTGATACAATGAAGATTTGACAAATCCCTCTGTCTAAACCACCATATCTTATTACCCGGGTCTGTCTTTTCTGACCCTCTGTCTCCATGATTCCCTCGTCTTTCCTTTTCCTAATTTATAAAGAGAGATGAAACGTGTACACAGGCATTCACATATATTCCTACTAGTTTTTTAATACTTCTAATACTTAAATAATGTACTATATCTGACAGCTAAAAGCACATGCTACTTTGCAGATGAAAGTTTTTCAAGATGTACTTCATTAATCCCACGAGAGGGAATAAAACTCTGTTATTGAGATATACTGCACATGTAGGCTGAAAAACACACACATGCACAAACAGTATACTAGGACATGCATAGATGGAGTGATGTCAGAGTGAAGGGGCTGCCCACTGCGAGTGCTCAGGAGGTGAACTGGCACCATATCTGTTCAGCACCGGGACTTGAACCAACAACCCGGTCCCTACAGACTGAGAAAGTGCCACCACCCATCAATGTTTTAGAATACACGGATTAAACCAACGGCTCAAAACAGTCTTCAATGTAACCCTTTTTTTTTGGAAAGTCAAGATGGGGCCACTTTGTTTTTTAATCTTTATTGTCAAATAAAGAGATAAAAGTGTGATGTTATTGGAAAAAAAGCAAAGACATCATCCATTAAAGGAAAGCAGAACTTCTTCTTTTCAACTCCTTCAGTCATCTCATGACGCCTGAAGTTAATCAATCAATCATCGAGTGTTTCTTGAGAAGTGCTCAACCCTTTGGTTGGAAACCACAGGCCTAAACTTCCTAACATTACAAACTGTCGTTAAAGGAGCTCCTGGACTAGCATAAGCAACGGATCAGAGTGCTATTCGATTCTGTAAATTTATGTTTCCTGTAAAAACAGAAAGCTTTAAAGGTTTTAAGTGCACAAGTGCTGTGTTTCAGGAAATCACACACTCCAAAATGCTATTAAGAGTACCTACAAAACATCTGGTTACCGGCATAAAGATGATGATAGAGTGAAAAATTATTTGATAAAAACAAGCAAACATCAATCTCAGCCTAACTAGAACTTAACAAATAAAAATTGTAACATATTAAATCTAGAATCCATTTTTTTTTCTGATGAACGAGTACTTAAACTTTCGACACTTGAAGCTAATGTTTCACAGCTACAGTACCTCTGTGGGCATTGTGAATATAGGACTGCTAATTGCAATAAAATGTTGGCCTTAAATAAAAGATCTCAGTAGTTTTTCCTCCACTGATTTCAATTCCAACTTCATCATCCTTTTTTTGAATCAAGGTAACACCATAAAAGCACACAAAAAGCCAGGCCCATAGACTCAGCTACAAACACATAGAAACACATTGATATGCAGGAGGTATTCATTAGGTGACAACAGGACATGTAGAGTATTTAAAAACATCAGTCAGCTGATCAGGAAAGTGCTTCACTCTGCGACATCATTAGAATGAAGTAGTTTGATGGCCTGCGTGATAAAAGACAGTGAGTCAGGGTCCAGAGCTCACCCCTTTAGAGATGTTTTAATTGTGTCCTTTCTTTTCGCCTGTGTTGACTCATTATTCTCCGTTCAACAGGTGTGTGACAGCGAGTGGCATCACCTTTCACTCAGCGTCCAGTTCCCCTCTGTCACCCTGTACGTCGACGGTGTAACCTTCGACCCTGCCCTCATCCATGACAACGGAGCCATCCCCAACCCAGCCCCCCGCCAGAGGATGTTCATTGGCGCCTGCTGGGGTACCACACTTAAATTTATGCTCCATGAATCCACAACTGACACACATTTCCCTCCAGCTTCATGATGGATTCTGACAGAAATTAATGCATGCAGAGAGCCTGCTTTTTTTTTTTTCTTTTTTGCATAAATTCTAGGAGATGAAATTGTGCAGTTTGAATTCCTCTGTCGCTAAAATGTCATTTAAATTAAATCACACTTCACATACAAGAGCAGGCTGCCAATTCTGGTGGACGCACCGACAACTCGCAAACCCTCGCAAGGCATTACAATCTGCCGAGACGTTTTCCCCCTGTGCCATTCACTCCCTCGTTTCACTCACTTATAATTTGGTTGATGCATTTTATCTTGGAGGGCTAATAATATAACTGACTTTATCAATTATTCAGGGCACACAGCACAACACGAGGGCCAGACAGCTATCAGCCACTTACACCCGAACCGCTGGTTAAAATGGGAAACTCTGGCTGCCAATTAGCTGTGAAACACACACACTCACACGCACGCACATAAACACACATATTTCAGGGCCTTACGCTCCACAGTGAAAGCTGCTCTGTTGCCTGCTTGGCAACAGCTGCTGGCAGATAATGAGGAGACGGTGCATTTCTGAATTTCATCAACGGGTTTTCTTTTGCTTGCGTTTTCTCACTCGCTTTTTACACGTGTTATTAAAAAAAAATCATTCTTTCTGTCAGTCTCTGGCACCCTCAGTCCTTCTCGCACTTTCTTTTTATACCTAGTGTTTTTCTCAGTTGTTGTTTTTTGTTTGTCTCTGCTTCCTGGTTTTCCCTGCAGAGCCAGAAGAGAAGCAGAAGGAGATACTAAACAACACCATCCCAGAGGGTAAAGACTCAGGTGACCTCCCTGTTTTCTGTTGTGAGCATGAGACTCTGCAGTCTGTTCTCTATTATTTATAGGCCTATTAGAATATAAATGTGCTGTTTCATAATGCACTATCTTTGCTCTTTAGTGAAGTATGTGGGGGGGTACCACGGCCTGTTGTCGGGGGTGACCGTGCGTCCGGGCAGTGTGGAGCCTCACAGTGTGGTGGAGTGTCTGTACGCCTGCAGGGAGGGGCTGGACTTTGGAGACCTGGAGACTCTGGGCTCTGGCATGAAGGTAAATACACACTGGACTGTAGACGGACACATTATGGTGGGACAAGAGGTCCATCTTTAATTAACAATTGAATCAAATACATACAGTAAAAATGACACCTCCCTTTGTGTTTGAATAAATCCTCTTTGCTACTAAGTGCTGTTCTCAACAGATCTTTTGACCATCTTGAAATCATTTTTCTAATAAAAACATAAGAAAATACATTATTCATTAATTACAATACAAATATAATAAACCCTCTATATAATATTTCAGCCTAGTTTTTCCAACTTGTTTTCTGTTCTTTCAAAAGACTCTTTATCTAAAAATATTTTTTATTTCCCGATACTGACGGATGACCAAAGCCAGTTTCAAAGTCAATCTTTTGTTGACTTATAGATAAATTATCCCTCATTTATGTATTATTCATATTATCCTCAAAGGATGAAGCTCTATTTTGTTTTTGTGTAATCCTCTGAGCTCTCCGTCTGTGACTACAGATCTAACGCCTCATTACTCATTTAACTCACTCTGGTTTCAAATTTCCAGTTTAGATCAGTTTCAGTTTCATTTTTTAACAGTTAAAACATCATCACTTGTTCCACATGTAAATGTAGCTCGACAGCCTTTCTAATTTGAATTCTTCATTGTTTCTCATTGATTTGAAACTGAGTGATACCTACTCACTATGTTACGTTATTCACATGAGGTTTTTATAGTTTTTGAAAAGGGACTTTCATATTGTAACAGAGAGAAATATAGAAAGGAAAACCAGAGTCAATCCTCCCATTGGGCAGGAACATTTGAACCCTTTAAACACAAATTGTATTTATGTTGCCATGTGTTTTTAACCTCCTCTAGTGGTGTGGTGAAGCACTTACACATATACATGTGATTTTTATGTATGGTACATATGATCATGAGTCTTAAAGGAACCAGGAGGCAGTACTATTCATCTCAAATGAGTTTAAGAAATATTATCCCCTTTCCAAAGTTTTCTTTTCCATGTTGATTCTCGTTAAACTTGACAAAAAGTGTGACATGTCCAGTTGTGTCTTGGTGATATTATACATGAGAGAATGATTAGGAATTAGGCTAAAGGAAATAATTCAGATTTTCAAGCTTCTTCTTTGATTCTTGCAGGTTCATGTGAATCCCAGTCAGTCAGTGTTGGTGCTGGAGGGAGACGACATTGAAAGCTTTAACCGTGCCGTGCAGCAGGTCACCTACAGAAACTCTCTACGCTTTGCCACCCCTGGAGTCCGTCCCCTCAAACTGACCACCTCACTCAGGTACACAAACGCACACATGTAACACACATGGTAAGGACTTTTCTTACCATTGAAGATGAACTATATTTCTTATTGTATTTATTCAGTTATTTTTAAAGGGACAATGTACATTCATCAATATTCAGATGAATGTAATCTAGCAAAGTTAGCCAAAAGGCTAATTTCCCCTCTGACAGATGTTGTTTGGCAACTCGGAATTTAATGTAACACAACATTTTCAATAGAAAAAACACAGACATACAGTATATAATACAATTAAATAACGAGAGCAGTGAATCTAAATCTAAAGGAAATATCCAGTATGGAAAGTAATGGGATGATACAGTTACAGTTACAACAGGTAAGTAGGCTACAGCATGATTGTTGACATTGTTGGTTCACAACATTATATTTAAATGAATGATAGGATAGTGACTCTCTGATTGATTGCTGTATTGAATTCCACTGTTGTGATGCTCTGATGGAAAAGACACCCTGGCTAGATGTGCTTTATCTATGCAGTCCTTGTAGCTGCACCTCTGATGGTTTGAGAAGCAGAAACCATGACTTTTATTTACATGCAAAGTAACTTCACTGGTGGGGTGCAGGATGGCCTGCCGGTTGTGTCGAGCGCTCCATGAACGGAGACTATAGTCGTTGTTGCAGCTGCCGTTGGTTTGAATCCGACCTCGGCCCTTTGCTGCGTGTCTTCCCCCACTCTCTCTCCTCCTGCTCTCTCTCCTCCCGCTCTCTCTCCTCCCTCCCTCTCTCCTCCCTCTCTCTCTCCTCCCTCTCTCTCTCCTCCCGCTCTCTCTCCTCCCAGCATGTACTGTCTATTTCAATAAAAGATAAAATGGCCCAAAACGAATCTTTAAGAAAAAAACAATTACTTAAAGATGGTTATCAAGATAGCTGCCAAGTAAAATGTTTCTATTAAAGATGTAGTAAAGTAGAAGTACAAGGTTGATTGAAAATTAGAGAAAGATTTACACATTTCTCTAATAAAGTACTTCAGTACGCGTCTGAGGGGGAGTACTTTGTCACTTTTTAGCACTAACAGAATACAAAGCGACTGACCGTTCAACAGAAAACTTGGGTCACGAACTATGATTCCATGTCATAAAAAATGTAATTCAAGACACTGAACCGAAGAGGAAGAAGATTTAAGTAAAGTGACACAACAAACACGCAGGAAATGTCTAAACAGCACAGATGTTAGATCAGACAGTTGCTAACAGTTAAGCGTAGTATCTGAGAGTGTCGGAGTAAACGTTGATCTGTGGACTGCGTGGCTGCTTTTGCATTGAACTCATAAAACATGGACCTTGCCTTGCTGTGATAAGGACTAGCGTGGTACGAAAGAAACGATTACATAGAGAGTATGTCAGAGAGAGATAAGAAGGAACATCTTATCTCTTTGTTCACTCACTCGCCTCCAAGTAACTTTTGCTTTGATGGAGTACTCTGCAGGTACTGCTGTCTGCCTGCGTTTGTTGCTGCTTAGCTTGTTGCAGGTTCTTTTTTGGCTCATTCCCTTTAAGTGAACACAGATCTGTTATCATGTTGCTCACTTACTTTTGCCTGAAAAAAAAAAAGAAAACCCTCATACTACCGAGATGTTTTATATTTGTATTCTTGAATGCTTTTAACACATTTCTTCAGCTCTAAATGATCCGTGAATCCTTGATGCAGCTCAGCGAATCACCTGGCTGTGAAAATAAAAGCACACTAACTCTGTTTGCGGGTCAGCGCTCAGCCATGCTTAACAACTGTGAGCTGGCTTTCTGGCTTTAGCCACTTTTAGCTGATCAATTATTTATTCATCTTGGGAAGCACAGTTCAGCACCTTTACTGTGGGCTGTCTTGTATTTACTGTATACTCAAACTAGCCAACAAAGAAGATCTCATCAAACTGTCAGGCTGTGCAAATCTTCTTTTTACTATCTTTACGGACTGTTTTTTTCCCCCATGTTTATGCAATTTCACTGATTACTAAGCCAGGAAAAAAACTGGGCTGGAGTTATTTTTTTTCCCCCCACTGTTTTTAACATCCCAACGATTCAAGGTCATGGAGAGATTTTTTTTCTGACTTGGTTTCTGCTCAAGTGTACCGGAGTTCTTTTTTTCTTTTACTCCAGCATGTTTTATTGCGTGTGTGTGAAGATTAGACTGATTTGAGGCCAGGAGTTTCCCAGATGGCTGAACAGCAGGCCCTTCTGGAGAGGCCGATACAAGCAGCTGCTCACACTGAAAAAGTAACACACACACTCTCTCTCTCTCTCTCTCTCTCTCTCTCTCTCTCTCTCTCTCTCTCTGCTTAATCCCCCTTCAAATATGACCCTAAATTATAGTGCAGATGAATAAATACATGTAAGCAGCCTGCCCAAAATCAGATTTTCTGGCAGTAAAATTAAACTTTAAGCAGAGCTTGTGTTTTTTTTTTTTTTTTTTTTTACATTTACTATTTTCAGTGTCACAACAGATCAATGCTAACCACAGCCATGTTGGAATAAGGGAACCAGACAGAGAAACTATAGCGCTAGATTAAGACCTTTTTGTTCATGATTGCCTTGTCAGCTTTCTTAACAACAACTCACACTAACTATGTCATTTTGTACGATGTAAAGAGTCTACAGCCATGCGAGTGGTGCAAATAGCTGAAGCTTTCAAAAGAATGCTAAATGCTCAAATGAAAAAGATGATGATGATGTGTAATGGTAAAAAATTTTACTTTTTAAAGTTAGTTTAACAGAGGAGCATGACTATGTATACAAACTAGAATTTATCAAAATAAGCACTGAAGGCTAATAAGAAAATCACTTTGTTTGCAGCTACGAGTATCTGTTCAGAAACCTCAGCTATGGAAAAAAAACTACAAATTAAACCAGAATGTGACACTAAATTAAACTTTAAAGGGAAACACATTCTAAACAATAGAGTCAGGATAGTGAGGAGCATCAGTGTACAAACAAAGAAGGTTATATGAAACCTTTTGTGACTCCAGAGCATTGCCTGTATATAAATATGGACAACATGTCTTCCTCTCCTTTATTTGTACAGAACAAGTAGTGCTGCAGTAACAAGTCCTACTACACAGAAATGAATTAGCATTTTTGCGTAACTGGTTTCATTGTCTCAAAGTCTATGGGATTTTTTTGTAATTCTTTTTTTTAAAGATTTATTTCTGGGCATTTTGTGCCTTTATTGAAGAGATAGGACAGTGGATAGAGTCGGAAATCAGGGAGAAAGAGAGTAGGGAATGACATGGATTTGAACCTGGGCCGCCCGCTTGGAGGGCTACAGCCTCCATACATGGGGCACGCGTTCTAAACACTGCGCCCCACCAGTGCCCCAGTCTATGGAATTTTTGAATGAGTTATGGTTAGATGTGCAAAATAAGGTTTGTGGTAAACACTAGCTTAAGAGATTTTCAAGTTTTTTCCACGACACAAAATACATCAGGAAGTGCCCCACTTGTGAATTTTTGATCTTTTTTTATAGCTTACAAAAGACAGTTGCTGAAACCTGGCTAACTAGGACTACAGAGTTTGTCAGTAAGATTAAGCGTCATCATGGAGCTTAGTGGTGATGACGTTAAAGTCAGTTGACTGTGGTGTAGTTCCTTTATAGCCTAGCATTAGCATTTTACTTACATAGTTTGCGTTAACACTTAAAAAAATTTAAAAGAAGGTTCAGTTGTGAAAATTATCTTGATGAATGAAGCATGCAAGAGTCATAAACTTTTTTATCGCCACTGAGCTGATTTACAGCAATAATTCAAGAACCCATAGATTTTATGTTGATGGAACAGGCACGATGCTAACTTTCGGGTTGGCCTACAAATCCCTGCAGCACTCCAAACACCCGTGGCAGGAGCTGTCATATTGTGCTGGTGACATTATTTGTAACCAAGACATACGCAGAAGGAATCTGGTTGTTGGAGCCCCACAATGAAAGCCGCGCCCCTTCTGCTAACCAAAGCATATATAACCGTTAAGAAGGCAAAAGATTCATCAAGTCATTATGTCTACTGCAGAACAGATTCTTGTGTTGGTTTGAATCCTGCACTCACTCGTGCAGGCGTTGGGGGGAAAAGTAGAATAAAAATTACCTGTTTCTGGTTCTGCTGCATCAATTCTGGTACATTTGTTGAAGTGTCCATCATGTCATACTGAGTCACAGATGTCAATTTTTCTATGTGATCATCAAAATTCTAATAATTCACCATGATGGAAAGCCATCAAGTCTGAAGCAAATGTCATGGCAATTGTGAGACATTCAACTTTAGAAAAAATTGCAACTTCGAAGAGGCATTTGAGAAAATTCTTGCATTTATATCAGGATTTATTTTTTCTGAAACCATAAATGTGTATCTCCAGACAGACAGCCTGACATTGCCATCCCTTGAGTCACATCATTAATGTTGTGAAAAATTCTCTTTCTGACAACGCAAACCCCTTTACTCTGCGCCAGATGTTTCAATGAGGAGAGCTGCCTGTCCCTGAAGCAGCTGGAGGGATACCTGGTGGTTCTCCAGCCTGATGCCCCGCAGATCTCTCTGTCTGGGGTTGGACCTCATCTGGCCCGTCCTGCCCCTGAGTTTGAAGGTCCCCGTGGTGTCCCACTTTTCCCTGAGCTCCGGATTGTGTGCTCCCTGTCTCATGCTATCAACACAGCTGCACAGGGCATGGAGGGAGGAGGTGAGTCACACAAACAGTAGTCCAAATGCGTGTAGATTTTTAAGATCTCTATTGATTTTTGTCATCTGTGTCTATATTTGAATGTTTTTTTTATTGGGTTAATGATTTAGACAAATCCTTTCTGTTGCCTGTTAGCTCTCATGTCTGACGCCGTGGCTCACACTCTGGACGGCTGTGAGGTCCAGCCACTTGGGGAGGAGCTAAACCCTGAGAGGGAGGAGCTCCTGGTGGACATGGATGTCGTGCGAGAGAGGGGACTGGAAATCATCAATACTACTGCATATATTGCCATCACAGGTACTGTGCATGAGGACATTCTGAATAAATTTAAGACTACCATAGAAAACTATTTGTTTACTTTTAACTTGTGGAGTTTGATTAAGATTTCATTAAAAAACTCTCAGCAAACACAACTAGAGAGACCTAAAGATAGTACAAAGTATGCCTGTTGTTGTCGTGTAATGTGTATGAATTAATGAGCAAGGTTGCGAGATAACATTTTGGCAAAAACATTTTAAGGGTTTTGTAAAAAGAAAGTTTAATACCTAACCCAATGTGCTGCGTCACGATGTGAGGGAGCACGTTGCTTTATTTATTCACTTATCATGTTTTATTCATTTATTTATCAGGGTTAATAAAAGGGGCAAACGATTGTCCTCAAATTGTGAGTGAAATATGTCCTCATATCTGACGTAGCACAGAAATACATCATGTCAGCTTTTCCAGTTAAAAACTGTAAGAAAAATACAAGTAAAATTGGAGAATAGTTAAAACTGCTTAAACGTATTCCTTTACTAATTGTTTTCCGTATCACAAAGTGAGGCCCATTTTTAGATAAACAAAAAAAAAACTTTACATTTTTACACTCAGGTGTAAGACATGAAATTTTGTAGATTACCTTTGACTTCAAAAGTAAAAGTCATCCATCCCTTACAGCCACGCTCTCAGTAAGTACTTGCAGTCTCGTTCTCTGTTTTCTTCTTCCTGCTCTAAACTCATCTTCTCCACAGTTTTCATCCGTCAACGACCTTTCACTGACTCCCTCTCTTTGCTTTTGTTCTTCTCTCTTGTTCTGCGCTCCCTCCAGGTGCCGAGTCCATCTCAGTGTACGAGGACGTCCTTCGCTCAGTCCGCTACCGACTGGCCAAAGGCTCAGCCCGCTTTGAGAGACGTTTCCGTCTGTCTTGCTCTGAGATGAATGGCAGATACACAAGCAATGAGCTGACTCTGGAGGTGAGAAGAAACGTCCTTCACATAACATCTCTAAAACCAACATAAAGATGACCATATGCGTTAGATCATCATGGTTACATTATTCTTCTTATTTGATATGAACAGACTCATTAGATTGCAGATTCTGTGTATTTACAGTTTAGCCACGTAAGCAGTGAGGTCATTCCTTCTCTCCTCCTTTCCCCCTTCAGGTAAACTTCCTCCACTCCCTGGACAGTCTGTACCATCCGTCCCACCTGCTTGCCTCCCAGCAGCAGTTCCTCCATCCATCCCACCATGCCGGAGAGCTGAGTGGACACACACTGCCCAACCCACACCGCAACTCAGGTGACATTTCCCTTTAATCAGCCTTTACTATCCTGCACACTTCCTGTGCTATAAAGTTACGGTACAATTCATTACCACGTTTCCACAACAGAAGCTCAAAAGTGCTTCCTGATGAAAGATAAAAAGAAACAAAATACAGTCACATCATAGGTGTGATTGATAATTCTGGTAGCCTAATGGGCACATCACTCTGAACTGCAGCATCTGTGCTTTCATCTTCTTTTACAGCTTGTGTCCTGTCTCAACACTATATCAATTAAAAAAAAAATCAAAGCAAATCTTGAGTAGACATGGTGATGGATTAAATAATAATTTGCTGCTTATCTTTGAGGAGATCCTGATTTTGTTTATCAAGTGAAGGACACAGTATGAACGTGTTCACAGGGCTGATGATAAACACATTCTGATCAAGCAGTGTTACTCCACTAACACCACAAAATATGCAGCAATGTGGCAGAGCAAAAGAAGTCTGTAAGATAGTTACCAAGGATGTAAACAGTGCTGGATTTTAAATGCTTAAAAAAACCCTAACTGCTGACACACAAATACACAACAATGCAAACACACATCAAACGTGAACTCTTTCAGAGAGAGAAAATTTTAACCTTTAGGAGTGGACATGCCAAAGTTACAGTCTTCTTTAGTTTTGAGCCTGGAGTGAGGGGCCACCAAAATACTCCAATCAGAGACCTCAGAAACATACTGGGGATGAAGTGCTGCAGCAAAATCTTAATGCAGGAAGGTATCTGAACACCGAGAGCTCTAAAAGTAATCACAAGACCAACGGGAGGAACCGTGTATGTGATGGGTTGGCTAACTATAATTATTATATAATGGTCTGCTGTTTATTTTCATCTACTGCTACACAGAAGATAGCATTATTATTATGATGAATCCTGTTGCCCACAAACTCAAGTAAAGGTTTGATAAGACATAAACTTTAAACACACAGTAAGCTTGGTTAGTTTTGTTACTTTTTACTTTAATATCCAGAGTGGTGCATATTTTTGAGCAGATGTTTTTAAAGTTGAAGGCATTCTGTATTTGGGTCAACATATGTTCAAACTTGAAAACAGCATCCCTGAGTTAATACACTCTGGACTTGATGAGAAAATGGGTTGAATTTGACAAAAAAAAAGTCTTGAATGAATGTATCTGCCTTTTTGTGGTGAACTTTTGGTCCTGTACTGAGGATTTATGTCTAAAGAAAGTTGTTTATTAAATTGGGTATAATACACTACAGTGCCTTTGGTTATTGTAATGAGAGAAAATGTCATTGTGGCTTACTCATACAGCTGTGGGACAACACCGAAGCTCTATGGCATTGATGAATGACCTTCATATTTGTTATTAGGATCAATTCATTGCTGTTTTGGTACCTTAAAAGTGGGTTTTTAATGATAAATATAATATAGATGATCATAAAATCTGTATCATTTCACTACATACAAAATCACTTTGTTTTATTTTCTTTACAGTGGTACCAGGAGCAGCCACAGTCATCATAATGGTGTGTGTTGGTTTCCTGGTTGTCATGGTAATCCTTGGAGTGTTCCGAATCCGTTCCATCCATCGCCGTGGGGAAGGTTCCAGGGGCGGGGCTAAGGAGGGTAGCAGCCAATGGGACGACTCCGCCCTTACCATCATTGTTAACCCCATGGAGGTAAAAAAAAACAAAAACAACCCCAGTTAGTTTTTTATTGTTAAATGATGAAGAATAAAAGTAACCTCACCTTTTAATCTCTTGCTTTTTACCTGCACACAGTCCTATGAGTCGCGCATGGGCATCTCTGCCGACACGGAGGGGGAGGGGGAGGAAGACGAGGAGGTGGCTGAGTCACCTGACGATGCCAGCGATGACCAGCGAATCATCATCAAGAAAGAGGGAAGGGACGGCAATGCCCGTCGCTATTGAGCCGCCAGTTCTCATGGAAACCACAAACCGGCTCACCAGTCACACACGCCCAACACTTTTAATATTGACGACTGCTGACACCACTAGTATGAGGAATGTATGCTTACAAACACAACGCACAACACAGTCACTGTAATACTCTCGTACTCTGCGCCATATGTGACCTATAGCCAACAAAGGGCAGATGTTTCCACCTAAATGTTCAATGGCACAATGTATACAGTTAATGTAATTTAACCGCCTGAGCAAAACCCCACCAAAATTGTATGTGATGCACCAGTTCTAAATCACAAGATGGTAATGTGTCTGTATAGTGTGTTACTGGTTGAATGAGACTGCTTTTGTTTAAAAAAAAAAAAAAGATTGTACTTTATCTTTTATTACTGAAAACAGAATGAAATCTATACGAAATGAAACCTGGAAAAAAAACATGCAAACAACAAGATACAAAGCCTTGATTCTGACATGTGTCTGCACTCCCCAATAAGACTCAAGAAGTCTGTGCACAAGCTTAACACCTCAACATATTCCTCTACAGTCGCAGAGTGAAGAAAGTAGATTCTGAAATTGTCTCACAAAAACAATAAAAACACTTTGCTTGCAGGAATTTTTAATTTATCGTGACTTATTTAGTGCTTCAGCTCCAAAATATGTTTTTATGCGGGGCTGGTGATTAGCTGACAAAATTCAAGGACTATCAACCACACACCTCATCCTTCAAACAGACTCTGCAATACTCCATAAATACAAAATAAAAGGCCTATGAGTGTCGAGTCCATGCAGCATCGTAAGGGGTTCAAGTTGGAATCTCTGCAAAGTTTCAGCTTGTGCCACTACATGACAAAAAAATCTACAATAAACCTGGTGCAACCTCACGTCTAACCCACCCCTCACAGTGACCACAGGAATGTCTCTAAATGACTCACACTGCACTCTTTCACTCACTGCAAACTGCTTTTACAATAACTGCAGGACGTCACATGCAAAAAAAAAGGAAAACCACACACACACACAGATACTACACACTCCATTATGCTACTACCCCTGCTGTTTCCAGAATGTCCGCTCAGCTTGGGCAGTTTTGATTGTATTGATTGTAATGAATTTTCTGTACATACAGTGATGAATATAATGATATTATTGTTATTACTATTATTATTGCAGCCACACTTTAAGAGGAGCAGATTATGACTTTACTTTGTACCCGCTCCATTATTTGAGTAATCACCTTTACAGCATCAGAAAACAGTATATTATTAATGATAATAATAGTAGTAGTGATAAGGATGACAATCCCTGGCTTGATGAGTGTCTCTTACTTTGTGTGTAATATTGTTGTAATTTAAGAACTTGTCGATATCTGAATCACAGAAAAATGGAGGGCACATTGTTGTGATACTCACACACGTCTCACTCATTTCACATTTCTTGGACCTTTTTTTTTTTTCACATGTCAAAAACAACACCTTTTTTAAAATTTATTTTTTCACACCATGCAATATCTTTGGTTCAATGAATGTACAACTGTGTGCTTCTCCTCACCTAACCCACCCCCTCTGCCTTTTCCCTCCACCTCTCCCTCTGTGTCTTGCTGTCTGTCTGTGTAGCCTATCAATGTGCAGTGCTAAATCTGTCAGTAAATAAAGCCTGTCGTTTTTGACTGTGATGTTAAGAAGGAATAAACAATGCATTGATTAATAACTTATATTATTACTATGTTACAATTGGAACATTACCTGTAATTATTGATACAATTATGACATGGATTATGCTGACTTATTGTTATTGAGAATTGTCAGAAAACATAACAGAAAACATAATAACAAACTGACATATTTGAAAAGAAAAAAACTAGTTACTTACAGTATATCAAGTACCAAATGACCATGTGAGATTTGAAACATAAACATCTGAAACTACTCATCCATTGACAATACACTTAGGCTAATGGATCACCATGAACGTGACTTTTGTCATCTGAATGTCACCAACAGTGTTAGAGCATGTAGTACATACTCAGTTACAGCGCCAACATGTGAAATTCTACCTGTACTTAACTTGAGATTTCCCTATTTTCATACTTGTACACCTAGCCTTTTAACATCGCAGTGGACAATATTGTACTTTTTACAATTTTTTTACACTAATTACAAGTAAATATATACCATTATTCTATGATTAAGTCAAACCAGTATATATATGTATTTTAAAGCTAGTGAAGCTGGATATGTTTTAATTAACAATATATTGATCTACACACTCCACAATGTCTCCCTGATGATTACTCACATTGATTAGGGGTACAATACATAAACTAATAGCCTATACTGTTTTAAACAATCATTGTGAAATTCCTTATTTATAGAGTTAGTATAGTTATGTCTAAAAATTGTATTGAAGTAGAAAAAAGTGTGAGTATAAAATACACATACTCAAGCAAATAAAATTATTGCCTATGGTAAAAACACTTCAAAATTGTACAGCCTACCTAAGTACTAAAGGGAGCAAGTTCTACTTAAACTCTTAAAGAACCCTACATTTTTACAATGTTATTTAATTACATATTCTAGGCAGTAAAAAATAAAGGTCAAACATAGTTTAAAAGCTGCATTTAGGACTGTTGCTTGTTTCATTTTTGGCTCAATAAAACAAGTGTAATAAGCTTTCTCGTGTGAGACAAACATCAATGGCATATGTAAATATATATAATGTATAGTATACGTTTTTAATTTAATTGTCTTTTTTTTTTTTCTTATGGACATCTACCACACCACTTATCTTCTGGACTTTGGCCTCCTGCTATTTTTTTTTTATTAACGTAAAATCTTTTGGCAAAATAAGTAAGTAAGCCCTGCCATCTTCTTACGTAACTCCGTTGGGGAATACGAAACCAGCGTGACGTTACGAGACACTCCAAGCGATCTCTGCGCTTCAGCGTTTTGTGGGTCATGGAGGAGGAAGGTAAATAAAAGGCAGGCGCTGAAAACACACACACAGCGGCTTGTTTCGGACGATTGCCAGGGGTAGGTTTGATGCCGAGGCTGATTTTCTTCTAATACGGTTGTGAAATCAGTGGAAGCACCGGAGTGGAGTGGACCGACTCTCGTTTGGGCTACCAGCAGCAGCAGCAGCAGCTGTCGGCGGTAAGATGAACATCATGTCTATCCGTGTCTCGCTTCATACTACAGGAATGATCTCTGCACTGGCCTTACTGTAGCTAGTGCGCTAGCACCGTGGGCTAAGGGGAGCTACACCCGCTATTGTTAGAAGCCAAAAGGCGTCGTTCACGCTTTGTGTCTTTCTGCGTTTACATTTAGGCATGTCTGCTGTATTAGAGAAAAAAAGAAACGTGATGAGAAACATTTACCGAGCCTATGCAGCAGTTTGTGACTGAAGCCACACTTAGCTTTGTGCAAAACAGTGCTATCAGTGACTGAGTTGACAACCATAGACTGAACCTTGTTGACACATGACAGGAGTTAAAAACCTGCCGGGTTGCATGCAAAAACATGAACTGGATTTCATTCAGGTGTAATAGTTGCGAAACATTTACCGAGCCTATGCAGCAGTTTGTGACTGAAGCCACACTTAGCTTTGTGCAAAACAGTGCTATCAGTGACTGAGTTGACAACCATAGACTGAACCTTGTTGACACATGACAGGAGTTAAAAACCTGCCGGGTTGCATGCAAAAACATGAACTGGATTTCATTCAGGTGTAATAGTTGCATTTTACTTAATTACAATGTATATGATTTTCACATGTTTGGCAGTAAACGCGTTGTATATGTGCATGTGCAGTGGGGGAAATAAAAAAGCCTCTCACAGGTAGAGTTTCTTGTTTGGATTATGATATGTAAAATGATGATACAGACAGTAACCTACCTGGGATAGCTTTGTGTTAATGTCTTTATGCAATCCTCTTACATTAAGCCCCATCATCATCCAGAAGCTGCTTGAATAAGTATGAAATCTACAGCCTAGGTATGGCCATAAGAGTCGTGGAGAAGTCCACCTGTAGCATTTACACTTTATTAGGTAATATTTTGTGATGTATTTTAAGGTGAAAACAGCTTGAGCAGAGTGGATAAATCAAGGAACTCAATTTTCTATTCTTGACAGTTCATAACAGGGATTTTAATGGTGCGTATCCCTGCAGGGGGTTTAGTGGAGTTGAGAAGGCCAGCATGTACAGCAGTTTGTCATCTGTTCATCCCTGAGCAGGGATGTAGGTCAGTCAGTGAGCCGAGCAGCAGGGTTTCATCGCTGCTCAATTATTTTCAGTATTTATATCTGGGCACTAAATCTGCAACAAAGGTTTTTTTTTTTTTGTTATATTTTGTGAGAATCAGTTGAGTGATCATCAGATGAGTGAGGATCAAATAGGACGTCATGCAAAATGTAATATTAAGTCTTCTTTCTTTCTCTTTTACACAAGCCCTGATACAGTACCCAGATTGTTTTGCACTGATACCATTATTATTTGCTTTTAATTTACCAAAAATAAACAAAGTAAAATTAAAATACACAAACACAATACTTTCAGTATGAGGTTTGTGCTATTTGTTACGAGCCCGATGTTTTTGAGGCTTGCTCTACATTAACATTACGGCTCCATAATGTTCTCCAGAATGCTTACTATAGTCTGTGATTTTAGTAATGAGTTATGGCAATGCAGCTTTAAATGCCGTGCATTCATAAGCTGAAGTCCTCTGACGTCAAGAGACTAACTGAGTGAAATGTTTGCAGCGTTTGTCTTTGCCCATCGGTCCATCACATCCACATTATTAACAGTTCACTCTAAGCCAGGAAATGACACGGAAAACAGCAGATGGAGCTTGATGTGGGTTACGTGACATGAGACTTTCTGTGTAGTAGTTTTTGGACACCCTGAAGATGTCGCCTTATTTGGCATGTCGGCTCTTAAATAGGCCAAAGGCATTAAAAGATGATCAAGAGGTGTTGAAATACTTCCCACTGGATGATCTGCACAAAGACATTTTCATAGAATTATTTTTTGCTTTCTCAGAATGCAAATTTTGCTTTTCTTGGTTGGGCTCAGGATAGTTAATTATATCTTTCAGAAGGGAAGAAATAGATTAATGCGTGTCTTTTAATTTGCTCCTCAGTTCTCAGGTGTTCTGATTGGGTTTCCCTCATCCTTGAGTTGCCATGGCGATGCGGGAGTTGGTGGAGGCAGAATGTGGTGGATCCAATCCCCTCATGAAGCTGACCGGTCACATGACCAAGGAAGGGGGGGTCGTGTTGACTGATTCACTGCAAAATGTATAACAAAGGTTTCCCACTCTGTTTAATACCTCATTTGAAAAGTGTCTTATCAGTCAAATACTCTTTGATAGCTCTAGTATGATTTTTTAATTGTTGCCCCAGCTCGTAAATGAGTTCCTTCAGGCCCCCCCTCGACCTCCACACACCTTTGACATGGGTCAGCTGTTGGAGGAAATGCAGCAGATCGACCAGCAGAACTACAGACAAGCTCCACAGAGGGGTACTTTAATATTGTTTTTTTTTCTTCTCATGGATGTTGTTCAGCAGTACTAGGAATCATCTGCCGTGTTTTGTGAATATTTGCTGCACTTTAAGCCCCACATTTTTCCATGTCACAGCTCCAGATGTGGCAGCGTTGGCCCTCTCTGGTGACTGGACGGCTGAGTTCCTCTCAGGTCCTGATGCTGCCTCCGCACCGGGCCTCAATGCTCTTGGCGATGCAGCAGATGCTGATTGGACAAGAGAATTTATCGCTGAGGCTGCAGGTAGCTTAATTTTTATTTTATTTTATTTTATTTTATTTAATTATTATTATTATTATTATTATTATTATTATTATTATTATTATATTAAAATAATTTCTCTATCTGATATTCACTTCATGACTCTGAAATCATCGACAGTCCATCATGTGTCATCAGTTTTTCTTACATCAGGCCGAACTTGCCTTTGAAGAAACCTTTTTTTTTTTTTGTCTTGTATGTCATTTTGCAATAAGCCCACCAGCTGTGTTTTTTTTTTTCTTTTTTCCTTTGCTCAAGATCCTGGACGCTGGGCAGAGGAATATTTGTCATCGACAGTCCATCATGTGTCATCAGTTTTTCTTACATCAGGCCGAACCATCATGTGTCATCAGTTTTTCTTACATCAGGCCGAACTTGCCTTTGAAGAAACCTTTTTTTTTTTTTTTGTCTTGTATGTCATTTTGCAATAAGCCCACCAGCTGTGTTTTTTTTTTCTTTTTTCCTTTGCTCAAGATCCTGGACGCTGGGCAGAGGAATATTTGGAGCAGTCAGAGGAGAAGTTGTGGCTGGGAGATCTGGGAGACAAGGACAATGAATGGTTAGAACATACTAGGATGGGGGATGTGTGTGGTCTTCTTTAATGTGTTTGAACTTATTCCAGAATCCATATTGTGTTTTTCTCAATACTTTCTTTTAGCTTTTTAACTTTGCATTTCCAGCTCACGTGGTGTCATGTCTTGCCTTGCTATGAGCTGCTGAACTTACAAGATAACTCCAAACTTTTAAGAATAAGATTTACTTTATTGATCTCTGCAAGGTGAAATTTCTGTTTTTACACTCTGTAAGTCATGCAACACACATGCTGAAATATACACACACATGCACAAACAGGATCCTATGGACATAGACTAATGGAGAGATGCCAAAGTGAGGGAGCTGCCCACAGCAGGCGCTCCTGATCTGGCACCTCTCCAGCTACCAGACCAACTTCCAGATTTGGTCCGCACTGGGACCTGAACCGGCGGTTCCCAGCCCAAATGCCTACACACTGAGCTACTGCCGTCTCAATGGCAATGGGGCGGCAATTTTAATGTAGATGTGACGCAAAGCCTTCAGTCTGAATGGATTAGTTTCCGCATACACATTTAAAATAAGACAGAATGGGTTTTTAAAATTCTTAAAATATGATATTAATAGTTTTTGGTTGTCGATCCAACAGGACAAAGGAGTATCAACCAGGAGAAGAACTGAGGCAGACAGCCAATGAGCTTGTCTCAAAGGTTGATGATCCAAAGTTACAAAACACAGAGGTGAGCAACATCTTAATGTTTACCTGACAACAACTGTAACCATGTTTAATTTCCTTCTACATATCTCTCACCATATCTTTCTTCTTCTGTTTTTCTTTTAACACTTTTGTAAAGTAGTTTTTTTGAAGAACAGTTCATTGGTAATGTTTTTATTGGTTGTAAAGGTTAATCTTTGAGTCTAAAGAAAGATGCTGACTAAGAAAGAAACTTGCTGTGTGTTGTTAAAAACTTGACCTGCTAGTTCTGATAATGGTACATGCTTTTATGCTGTTCCTTTTTTTTTTTTTTCGTTTTGATGTAGTTCCTTCGATTCATTAGGCAGATTGGAGAGGGAAGTGTGACAGTGGAGAGCAGAACAGACAAACAGCTCACAGATAAAGCTCAGGCCCAGGAGGCTCAGAACTGGGCCTCCAACCTCAACCAGGTACGAGTCTCTGCCCAATGAGGAGGGGGGCACGCTTGACCACAGGATTACTTGGGGAAGCACATTGGTTCACAATGCACAGCAGAGGCTGTGCACAGTGTCTCATCAGCCCAGCATCCAGTGAAGAGTAATATTTTCCAAAAGCAGCCAGTCCATGTAATATGAAGCTCGAGGCAGAGCAGCATTACAGATGGAATTTGTTTGGCAAAGAGAAGATTCTTTTAACTATCTGCCTCTCTTCATTTTAAATGTGTATCGCCAAGCTCTGGTTATTCCCATCTTGTCTTAGTTTTTCAGTGGTTTATGATTTAACTCGGGTTTTAAGTAATTTCTATGACTTCATTTATACGAAACAGAAAAGGGCTGATGCCAGATTTGGGATTTCAACAGCTTTTCCCCCTGAAATCAGTTCTTTGGAGGTCCATTTCCACCAACAGATGAAAAAATGTCAAAAGTAAGATATAACAAAAACTCCATGGATCTTACAGTTATGAGATTAGATGTCCAAATTATTTTTGGTGTTTTCTTTTACTAAAATGTCATTTCCTGTTAAGCACTTTGTACGCTAGTGTCATTAGTCGTCTTTATCCAGATGTGGCGTTAACACACATGGCGGTCTGGAATGTTTTGGTTTTGACCTTTTTAGAGTGCTTTAATTTTCTTTACAAGCTGTAGGAACATGTTTGACCTACTAAAGTAGGTCAAACATGTTCTTGACTATGTAATGACTTTCACCATTCAGCCCTTTTACTTTCATCATGCCTTACTTTTTCATCTTCTTTTTTTGTTTGGTGGAGATGGGCCTCCATGTACTACTGTGAGCGTGTAGCTCTCAGCCCTGTTTGTGATTGACATGTTCACCATGGCTCCATTGTACTTTCTTGCCCTCTAACACTGACATGTATACTTCCCAATCTTTTTAACCTGCCTTCCAACTCTCGGCTTCCCATCCCCTTAAATAACTGCCATTCATCTCCTCCTCCTACTTATAATGACTCTGCCCACCCCTCCAAAAAAAAAAAAAAAAAAATCCTCTCCACCAACCACTCCCCTCCTCAAAACATTGCCCCATTCCTCATTGCCACCTCCTCCTCGCCTCCTGCCATAGTTCCTGACGGAGACAGGGGGAGGCAGTCTTCCCTTGGAACCCACAGAGAGGGATCCGAAGATTGAGAATGTTAAAGCTAAACAAGCACAGCAGTGGGCCAAGGTCATCAGGCAGGTAGGCCCTCTGTGGTCTCTGCAGCGATAGGTGTTAGAGTTTTAGGCAAAGTATTGCATATTTAAGTTTGCTGAAAGTATTCAAATTTCTCAAATGCATAAGCAAAAGAATACACTCAGCTTTAAGTTATTTTGTTTGTTTAAGTGTTTTTTATCAGATAACATTTTTGAGTTATTTAGGAAGACATGAAGGAAATGAGAGAGGAAATTAGCTTTTCTTCAGTTTTTTTTTCTTTCATCTTTCCCTTCTTTCCACTCACTTTCCTCTATATTTTTCCTTTTTTAACGTCACCAACCTCAGCTTTAACAACATTTTTTAAAATATCTAATGCATGTTGACTCAAGTGAACCGCTGTCATTGCTTTATTCAGGTGTCTGAAGATTCGGCAGAAGCCTGGGTAGATGAGTTTGCCACAGCAGGACCGGATTTCCAAGAAGCTAAAGCTGCAGTGGAGGTGAGGGACGAATGAAAGAGACAAAGCTCAAGCACTAGATATTAGCTTTGAGAAGTGTTATTGCAGAGGTTAGTTGCTTTGAAAACAAACCACCATCTCTGTCTTCAGACATCAAACATCATGAACACGCTCTCATCTGTCCATTATGAGGTCAAATACATTAACAACAAAAGAAAGACTGATGTATGATTCAAGGTGACAGAGGGATAATGATTTTTATCTGTCATTTTGTCAGAGTGATGTGGATTTCTGGGAGAAGCTGCAGCAGGAGTGGGAGGAAATGGCAAAGAGGGATGCAGAGAGCCACCCCTGGCTGTCTGACTTCGATCAGCTACTCAGCACTTCTTATGACAAGGTAGCTGTCTTCCTGCTCAGCAACGGCAACTGCTGAGAAATCGTTTATCTTCACATGTTTGAGGATATCAGCACTCTTTTCTTTTTCTATTTTCTTCTGACCAACTTTTTATTTATTTTGACAGCCTTTATAGGTGTATATCATCCAATAAATTCATTTGGTAGTAATTCATTTAAAAAAGCGGATGTGGAAAAGCACTCTTTTCCACATACAACTCAAATGCTATATTATTAATAAGGCTTTTGCCTTTTTGTTTTCATTGTGTTTGTTCAGGGTTATCAGTTTGAAGAGGAAAACCCTTACCTATCTCACCCAGACCCTCTCTCTGAGGGAGTGAAGAGGATGGAGGCAGGGGACATCCCTGGCGCTGTACGCTTTTTTGAAAGTGCGGTACAGAGAGAACCAGAAAACCAGCTGGTGAGACGCTTTCCTTTTTCTTTTTTCAAATTTACCAAAATGTATTTCCACAGAAGGATATTAATGAAGCAGTGATGTTTGTATTTTTCTTGTCATTGAATTGCAGGCTTGGCAGTATCTGGGAACATGTCAGGCAGAGAATGAGCAAGAATTTGCTGCCATCAGCGCCCTCCGTAGGTGAGAGATCAGAGTTGCAAAATGCTAATATTACAAAAGAACAAACTCATAACAATTGCAAATCAAAACATTGAAGAAGTGAATGAATGAAAGACTTTATTTTGAACCAAAAATTTAAATAAAATAATAAAAGAAGTTACCGTGTCTGAAAAGGAGTAGGTAAAAGTCAAACCTATACATCCCTACCCCTTTCTCGCTTTTCTTCTATTAGTTTATAAAAATTAAAATGTGAGAATTTGTTTGAATAATTTATAAAGTCAGCTGTTTTCCTGGTTTACACTGTTTGAACACTATAATGTAATAATTATCTTTATACTTCTGTAGATACAAATGATCTTGATTCACTTATTTGTAGCACAACAACAAGCTTAATGGCTTTAGGGGATTCTTCGGTCTCTTTAGATCAGTGGTCCTCAATTGGTCTATCCTCAGGACCAGCCACTAACTCCTTCACTAGAAATCATGACCAACATTTCTGACACTTCTCAACCTATCAGATTTATTTAATGAAACACATTGCAGTTTGGACCTCAGGCGGTACAAAACATCTGACAGAACAAAGAGACTAAACAAAATAAACGTTAAAGCGCCTCAGACTTTTTAACAGAATGTTTTTTTTCAAGGCACACATTCGAGACCAACTGGAAATTGCTTCACGACCCACTTTTGGGTTCCGACCAACCAGTTGAGAACCATTGCTTTCGACTAAACATTCATGACAAATTCTAGAAAGTTGCAGAAAAGGCTAAAATGGAAGTCGATTCCATCCTGTAGTTTTATTATAAAGAGTGTTTGTGCATTGGCTCGCTACACATTTGCATTCCTCTTTTGACCAGTTCATTTTAAAATAAAATAACTAAGTGGAATTGAATAATCTGGAACTCTTAATTAAGTTCTCAACAATTTGCGTTCTCAACCAAGAGCATGTTCTTGTGAAATGGAAAGAAAATGTTAAGCCTGCTGATTAATTTTTTCCTCTTCCTGTGCCGGTCTTCTCTCATTTAGATGTATAGAGCTGAAGAATGACAACCTGACAGCTCTGATGGCGTTGGCTGTCAGTTTCACTAATGAATCGCTGCACAGGCAGGCCTGTGAGACTCTCCGGGATTGGCTAAAGCACAACCCAAAATATCGCTCTGTGTGGGAGCAGAATGAGGGCGAACGGCAACAGGATGGCGCCAGAGAAAGGGACAAGGAGAGGGAGAGGTTCGGGTCACTGCTGCCAGAGTGAGTTGAACATACATGTGGGATTCATAAAAAAAAAAGAAGAAAACAAACAGAACCAGTACTGTTTGTGAGATAGTGGGTTTTCTTGTTGTTCTGACTCTTGTGTTTCTTTTCTCTCTGCAGATCATTGTTTACTGATGTCCAGTCCCTGTTCCTGCATGCAGCCAACTCAGACCCGGCCCAGGTGGACCCTCAGCTGCAGTGTGGTCTGGGAGTTCTCTTCAACCTCAGTGGGGAGTACGACAAGGCGGTGGACTGTTTCAGCGCTGCTCTCTCTGTCACACCACAGGTAAGAATCCAGAGCTCAGATCCAGCAGTCTGTCTTCACACCGCATGCTCTGTTTCTGAGTCCTCCTCCTTTCTCTTTGTCTCCATCAGGACTACCTGCTATGGAATAAGTTGGGTGCCACGCTCGCTAATGGCAGCCGCTCAGAGGAGGCAGTTGCCGCCTACAGGAGAGCGCTGGAACTGCAGCCTGGGTTCGTTCGTAGCCGATACAACTTGGGAATCAGTTGTGTGAACCTAGGAGCACACAGGTACGAGACTTGATGGTGAAATGTTCAAAACAAGGGCAATGTTCTTAGTAGCAGTTACCACTCAACCAAAACGGCTAACTGGCTGCTTACTAATCATGAATGATCCCATGAATGATTACTACCCCTTTCAAACCTTCACAAAATTATTGAATCAATGTATAACACCCTTCTTCTAAAGGAAAGGTGTGAAAACACATTTGTCTAATATATATATATATATATATATATTTAAAAAAAACAATGTGGTCTAGCTAACCCACTCTACCTTTAACAATGATACGTCTTTATATAAATAGTTGGGAAAAACAGTGCATCATATGCTGTTTATCCATCATGTTTGTCATGTGTTTGTTTTTTAATTAAAAACCAGGAAACTTAATTTATTTTGTTCTGATACTTAAGAGTCGATGTGTGTGCTCTTTATGTCCTGATATCAGAATGTAACTAATCTGGTGCAATGCAGTTGCTTTAATTTCCACTAGATGGCGATTGCTGTTTTGTAACACTAAGATGCCAGTTTTTTTTGTACCATTGCTTGAGACAATGCCCTTAAAAAAAAAATCTGTATTTTGAAATATTTTACTTCATTCAGCTTAATGAAAATGTAAGAGGCTGGTGTTCTTTGACCTTCTACTATTTTATCAACCCTGATTACGTACCACACGATCTATCTGGAAATTGTTTGATTTTGAGTATTGCATTTGATTCTTACCCCTAGTATTATGTTGTGCTAGCTTCTGGTTTGGTTCAAAGTATTTGTTAAAGCTTTTTAAAATTAATTTGTTTATATTCTAGCTCAAATATCATATTTTTCATTCTTGTCTGGCTATTTCTCCTTTATCTTCAGAGAGGCGGTGGAGCACTTCCTCGAGGCTCTGTCTCTTCAGCGTCAGGCATCCGAGGGCGGAGCAAGAGCTGCGAGGGGACCAGGAGGTGCAGCAGCCACCATGATGTCTGACAACATCTGGTCCACTCTGCGCATGGCTCTCAGCATGATGGGAGAGAGCTCTCTGTATGCTGCTGCTGACCGACGGGACTTGGACACATTGCTCGCTCACTTTTGTCAGAGAGAGGTGGAAGGAGGGACCGAATGAGAACCAGCCAGGGGGGAGCTTATCGAGTGTGAGTGTGTTGCACTGGGAGGAAAATGTTTGGGTGACTGAATTAAGCAGAGGGGAATCAGTTATGCATAGAAATGGAGGAGGAGGAAGACACTGTGAATAATCAACCAACCTTGAGAGGTCATCTTGTGGTTAGTTTCCCTCAAAAGACTTCAAATATTGCAGTATTAGTTTGTACCTGGGAGATGCAGCCAACAGTAATACAGTCATGTTACTGTGTTCTACATGTTTGACCGTCCTCGCCTTTCCTACTACTCTGTTGACCTGGAGAACTGGGTATATTGAAACGTCACTTTGATTTTAAATGTGTTCTCAATGATGGAGAATGATTGATTTAATTATGGTTTCAGTTGAAGTTTATGCTTTATTATGACACTCAATGCCCTCACAACCCGTGCTTAACAGCAGCTTGAACTGTACAGTCACTACAATGGTGTAGACATAAGGTACAATATTACTTTGACGTTGAAGGAGTACTGCTTTGTATCAAAAGTGCCCGTAAGAGAAGGATCAGACCGGTCCACAGAACAAACGCTAATCATCTTGGCTTCAGTGGCTTTTGTTTTCTTTTTTTTATAATCTTTATTTAATTTTATAGTGATCATATATCAGCCAAGATAATGAACTGACAACCAGCGGGACTGTTTCTATTAGAATATGTTGTATGTGTACAGTCTGTGTGTGTGAATGTGTGCTTTTGGTTTGGATGGATGATCATAATTGGATGACTAGTTCGTATAAATGTAATCATCATTGAGAATGGTTTCTCTGGGCTCCTCCCTCTCCTGCTCTTTTTCATATCAACCTTGTAAAACAATTTGCTTCATTGTAAAATAATGCTATATGCCATATTGTGTATTGTAACATAATTGTTGCACTATAATTGTGTTCAGGCTAGTTAAATCCTGACTGCAATGTTTAATATAATATTCAGCAATAAAGCTTTAATTCCAAAAAATCTGTTTTGTGTTTTCCTGAATGAATAAATGAACAAAATGGTTTTGCTTGAGCGACTTAAATAAGGAAAGCAGAGATGTTTAATAAATAATTAACAGATGGAAGTATGAAAGTTGAAACGCTTGCATTAGTCATTTAAACAAATATTTCTGTCTAATCTGAATAAAGGCAGTGATGTAGAAAACTGACTTGAATTACAGCTGCAAAGTCTTCACTAATAATGAAAACAATAGACATGTTTAAAATGATCAGCTTAGCGAGCCTGTTTACTCATAATTTGATAAATAATTAAAATAAATCCATTCCACGCTTTTCCTCAAATAAATATAGAAACAATGTTATTTTCCCGATGGTCCTAAAAATATGTTTATAGCATCTGTCTTGGTTTGCCTGTGGTTTGCCTGGGGAGGAGGCGTGTTTCAGGATGACTAACGTAACATTTCATTTTCCTCCAAACGTGACAAACAAAACGTGCATTCATTTCAACTTTCAAATGTGTTATCAGCAGAAAGACACTCCCCGTTCCAGAACGCCGAGCTCTAAGCCAATCGGCGCCGAGGAAACAGGGAGGACGCTACAGCTGATTGGTTCATTCAAAAATAACACACGCGCAACCCCGCCATTTAAATCTTTTAAAAAGTCGTGGGGTTTCCTGTATTTATCTGAAGTCTCTCTGTGGAATAAGTGAAAAGAGTTTTAGCAGCACGCCTGAACGAGTGTCTTCGTCTTCTGTAAGGTAAGCCAGAGAATACATTTAAAACTGTGAACTTTAGTCGTCAAGTGCAGTAGTTTGTGCGCTTTTAAACACATTGCGGTCAAATGTTACTATCACAACCCTCTAACTTTACATTAATTTAAGAGTAATAAATAAATATCATGCGAAGAGACTTTGGCTTAACTAGCTTGTTGTTCACTTGCTAACTACTCACTACTTTCAGCAACATTTTAAGAACAATATTTTACGACATTTAATGGTACGTTTACACATGATTAAAACATTTAAATGTACACTTGCTTGTTATTTAAAAAAAAAGTTTGAAACCATGTTTATAAATGTTATACGCAGTTAAAATTAATTATAGTAAATAGAATACATAAGCAATCGTTTAACGAGGTGAAGTAAGTAATGAGTCAAATCGTGCAACAGTGTTTCTATGATTTAATTTTTAATGGAAAGTTGTGCAAAGGGTCATTGTAGTGATATAATAACGCTGCCTAGCAACAGACTAGAGTTACAAGGGGAACATATAATTGTCAGGAAATTGGTTGTCTGGCACAATAAAATCACGATAGAGGCCTCTAATGTCTGTCTTGTGACTTGTCTGTAATGAGCATCATGTGATCCGGGTTTAATACAGATCCTGTTTATGTCTTCTTCTCTGTTGCTTTTATATTGCTATTGTCTGCTGAAATGTATTAAAATGTGCAATTCTATTCTTATGAGGCAGTTAATCTTTGATAAGCATCATGGGATCCAGTGAGAGCAAGCCAGCTGTGTCTGCACCAGTAAAACCAGAACCAGCTGTTAAAAACAGAGTCTTACAACTGGATCCTCGTTCCCCTTCAACAGGAATTGATCGTACACCCATTCAGGTAGGTGATTTGTGGCGGGAGTTACTGTTTTTTTTGTTTTGTTTTGTTTTCTAGGAGGAAAACATTTAAAAAGATACTGACCATAGCAACTATTTTTCCTAGGTTTGTGGGCCTGTGTCCAAAGCTGTTGCTGAGGTTAAAAGTGAGTGTCCACTGGCGTTCACCGATCCCCGCTCACCTTCTGTTGGAGTTTCCCGCACCCCTGTCAGAGAAGTCATGCGAGGTAACTAGTTGAAAAAGGATCATTTTTACCCTGGCTTTTCTCAACTGCGAAGTCCTAACATGATTTCCTTCCATGTGCCCATACAGTGACAGTTGGGTCCTTTGCTCGCCGCCTGGGCATTTTTTTACATAATGAGACTGAAGGTACCGTCCCTCAGAAGTGCTTCAGTGAGTCTGTGGAGGAGGAGGAGGAGGTGGAGAGTGAAGAGCTGGTTTCAACTGATCCCCTTTTGTCCCCTAAACCCTCCCTTGTCTTCAGCTATCTGGCTGAACATGCTAACCTTCTGGCCACTCCTCAAATGTCTGTTCCCCAAAGTGCCGATGAGTCCACTCCCTTTGTGCATCTACATGAGCCCCAGGACGAGGTGGAGGTAGAAACTGAGGCAGACTTTAGCCTGGAGGAGGCTGAAGAAGCAAAAGAGTCTCCTCTTCACAAGAGACTGAGCATGAGCCTGATAACTTGCCACGAGGGAGCAACTTCATCCCAGGTCTTTGCTGAGGTGCATCGTGATGGTGCTTCACCTCCAGCTCAGATTGAGAAGGTGGAGCCACTTGGGGATGGTGTGGATCATTCATATGTTCTTCGTTCAGTCACTGTTGAACCAGAGTCTCTAGTTGAGTCTTCCCTACCCACTTGTTCCCAAGAGTGCCCAGCTGAAGTCTCCTCTGAGAAGTCAGAAAAGCAAGCAGAGCAATTGCCAGCTTCTGAGGAAACAAAGGAAATTGTTGAATCTTCTTTGCCTTCTGCGTCCGCCCCACCAGAGCCACCAACTGCTACCCACCCAGAGCAGCCACAGCTCTCTACCGGCATCCGCTGCCCCACCTTTGACTCAAAAAGCCCAAGTCAGGCTGTGTTCAAGCCGCAGTGGTTAGGAAAAGGTTTTGGAGCCACTGGGCTAAGAGCTAGAGGACCACAGGGTGGAAAAAGTGGCTCTTCTCCTCTTGCTGTCCGTGTGGCCGTGAAAAATATAACCAACGAAAACAAGCGACAGTCTGGAAAACTGAAGAAGAACGGTGTGTAGAAAGTTTGTGGCTTCTCATTATTTGTTAGAAGATGTTGTCGCTTGACCTTTCTTTTCTTTTCAAGGTACTGAAGGCCGTTCCCCGCTGCAGATCCTGAAGACGACCAACTCGCCCAGGGATCAACAGCCTCAGGTACTGCATATAATCATTCACACCCTGATACTGATTCATTGCCTTCATTTACTTCATTCTAACTTGTTTTGACCTTTTTTTTTTGTAGTTGCTGTTGATTGATTCAGTTGTCCAAAAAGTGAATTGCAACATGGAATGACAGTGAACTATTGAGGTAATTTGTTCTCCCCTCTTTGCAGATGACGCTGAAGGTGTCCACCCCAGATAAGCAGAGGCTTGGACAGGTGGACCGCAGAGTGTTGGCAGCGTGTTTGAATAAGGAGAATCGATGATTCACTGTAACACTGTGTACAAGATTCCAGCCACTTTCTGCTTTCCTATTTCTTTACTCAGGCTTTTATGTGTACAGCTCTCTTAAATAGTTTGTTCTGTATATATAACTTCCAGTTTTCTATCCTGTTTTATCTCCTTGTAAATACAAATAAAAATTATTTGCATTAAATGTTCAGCTTCAATTTTCTTATACAAGTTCTAGATTAGTTTTCCACTTTCTATTGTTCTGTTTTTTAAGGTACCCATTTTTTTAAACTTTTCTTCGACACGTTGTAAACTGTCCATATTAGAATCAAAATTTGTACAGGTTAAAAAATATTTTCATGTTGAAGCTTCAGTATTAAAACACAAGAGGGAGCCTGTAAATAAGCCATGTGAATCCATGAAAAGACAACCTACATTTGTATGCTTTGATTAAACCTTAAATTACTGAAACTACTGAATATATTTTTTCTAAACCTTTGCATTGACAATGTTGACATTAAATCTTGATGTCATAAACTCAATTTAAAGTGAAATCAGCACGCCAGAAATGAGGCTTGTTCTGCAGAATCGTATGTTTATTAGACAGTCTTTAAGAAAGGTAGTATTGTCTTACTATAGACAGAGTGTATCCAGTGTTGGAAAAGAGGCAGTCCAAGTCCCAGTCAGATCTTAGAAAGGATTTGCGTGAGTGTGTATGTACATAAACTGTCCTTCAAGAGTAACTTGTACCGTGCCACCAGAGGAAAAGTTAAGCGATCCTATCCAGATTCAGATGTATTTCTCATATGCACACAATAGATTGTATGATCCGCACAACACTCAAACAACAAAAGCTCCTCCTGTTCTGAGACAAATGGGTCATCATTTTATGTAAGTGCTCGGTGAACCATGAAAACTATTTTATTATCCCATCTGTCAGTTCAACAGTTTACCCGAAGCACTTTTCAGGTCTAGCTACTGGCTGATGGGGGCAAATAAGGACACCTCAAATCCTGTTAAATATTGTCCATCAATCACATACAAAACAACTCAAACACTATTTTATAGTGTTTGAGTTGCAAACTATAACTATAACTATAACTCCTTTTTAATTAAGATTAGAAAAAACAAAGTAAATGTAAGCGTCTAGGGAATCTACCAAAACTACCAACAAACAACAGTCTGAATCAGAAAATGCTCATATTGTATCATATAACTTAACTTATGCTTTGATATAAAACGTAGCATGTTAGCATAGCTAATGTGAACCTACACAGGCTGTAACTTGACACATATTCAACTTTATCCCATCCAGTGTGCTACCATTTCCATTTGGCAACTGTTCTCATTGGGTTATCTCTGAATTGCTGCAATAAATGTGCATAATGTCGATTTAAACCGCAATATAATAATCTATTAAGAGGAATGATCGTTTCCAAGACCCCCACCCCCAAATTCCCCTATAATGTGAGAGTGTGATGTGACAGAGAGAGGAGAAAATCTTCACATTACAACCTCTCTCCAACATTAGAATGGACTTGGCACAATTAAAACACCCTCCTCTCACCCTGTGTGGCTCCTCATCCCTCACTCAAACTCCAATTGCTTTTAAAACAAATCTTCTACACTTTTCTCCCAGGCGGATGTTTACTGCTCTCTTTCTGCTCACTGGTGGGGAACAGCCTCAGTTCCATATCTTGAGGAAGCTGTCCCAGGATCCTGTGCAACACGCCATGCCGTCGGAGGACACACCGATACAGCTCACTCTGTTGTCATGACCAGCAAGTACTCCTGAGCCAAGAGAGAAATGGAAAGAACATGTGAGAGCAGAGCAAGGTGCCACTGAAATGAAACCTTGTGCAAGACAATCCAACAACTTCCAGCTATCTTTCAAAATACAGGTTTTAGATGGTTTGGATTCAATGCTGTATGTATTTTTCTTATCTTTGACTTCTCACCAACTCTCTCAGCTTTAAGTGCATCCCAGATGTTGACGTTGAAGTCGTCGTAGCCGGCCAGAAGCAGGCGTCCAGACAGGGACGGGGCCAGAGAGGTCACCCCGCACATGATGCCGGAGTCCTGGTAGGTGATGAGCTCCTGGTCTGCTCTCAGGTCGTACAGCTTGCAGGTGGCATCGTCTGACCCTGTGATCACTGCGTTACCATTGGGGAAGAACTAAAAGAAGAATAAGGGATTACAAACAAAGATTAATTAAAGTCAAATCCCTGGTAGGGCAGTGAGGTAGAAATCTGCCTGATCCTTACCCCAATTGCATTGATGTCGCTCTCGTGGCCTCCAAAGGTCTGTCTGCATGTGCCCTCCCTGATGTCCCACAGCTTGGCTGTGAAGTCGCACGCTCCTGAGATGAAAAACTTGAAGTCTGGGGACACAGCCAGAGACATGCAGTCTCCCTGGTGTCCTGCGAAGACGGTCTTTTGGGTCCCTGTCTCAATGTCCCATAGTACGCTAAAAGGAGATTTAAAAAAAAAAAACAATTATTAACATTTTGACTATAGAAAGGAAGGGTGACACACAGTTTAGTCCCAAGTGCAATCAGTTTACCAAGTGCAGTCTCCAGAGCTGGTAATAATCTCACTGTCGCTGATGAAACGACAGCAGGACAGGTAACCTGGGCAACCAAAAGAAAAATAACAAATGAGAAACCTGGAGCCACGGTGTAACTTAGGAGGATTCATTTACGTATTGCATCAGCAGCGTTAAGAGATTTTCATATCCATGCTGCGTTGTCCATACCTGTGTGTGCTGCCAGCTCACGCATGACCTTTACGTTCCCATCCTTGCCCTTGAGGTTATAGATGGAGCACATGTTATCTAGACCGCCACAAGCCACCATGTTCCCTGAAGGTGCATAGGCGCAAGTCATCACCCACGAGGACTTGAGAGGGATAGCATTCACCTGGAGACACACAGAAAACCGAGCAGAGTTGAATCACTGAATCTGAATGTAAGCCACTCACACTTTAAGGGTGTGTGAGGGAACTCTTTAAATCGGCTACTAAAGGAGACCAATAGGGTCTTCTGTAAACAACTCATTTTCTGCAAGAAATATTTTGATAGTATAACATCTGATTGTTTTTTTCCCCCTCAGTGCTGGCAATGAGTTCATCACTCAGAATTCAGCTCCTATTGATGGGTTGTTTGCACGGCCTGCTCCGACCTCCACCTCAGCTGCAAGGAAGTTGGACAACAGGAACGAGAGGAGTACAAAGGAGAAATCCTTCCTGCTTATTATCCCACATGCTCTTTCGTAAAGCGTCTCCAGATAACACTTGTTATGAAGTGGCGCTATACAATGATAATGATAATGATTGATTGATTGTTCAGTCAAATCTTAACACACACTGTCCAAAAAAAGTAGCCTACATTAAAGATGTTTGCAAGTTTAATGTGTACATTTACTAAATTATACATAAAGATGCCTTCTAAAACTTTAATGGTGGTTTCTTCAGTAAACTTTATATTCTTTATTCTTAGGTATTCAGGTGTTTTTTTTTTTATGTACATGAAGCTTTTGGCCTCAGTTATCATTGTTATTGCGTCATGGTTTACATTTTCCTCTCATCTATCATTCTGTATTCATGTTCCACCTCCTCTTTGCTTTTTTCCTACCTTGTTGGTTGTAATGCTGTCCCACACTATGAGTTTTCCATCTTGTGAGGCACTGACACACAGCCTGGCAGTGAAACAAAGAGGGGAAAAAAAGAGATATGAAAACAAAAAAAACATCTGAAACAAGCCATGTGTCCATTAATCCAGCAATCCCTTACAAATTCAATACAACAACCAGAATTCTAGCTCCCTCTCTTGCATTTTTTGGCTCCTCTTACTCTTAATTTGATCAGATTTTGTCTGGCTGTGAAATAGAAAATAGCAGATGTTCCATCAATTTGTGAACAATAATATTTTGTGTATTTACGTGGAGTCAGTGCCCCAGTGCATGGCGTAGATCTTGGCAAGGTGACCCCTTAGTGTTTTCCTGGTCTTCATCTGGACTCGGCCCACCACGGTGATCCCGGCCGCTGCTTCTTGAAAAGTTGTGTCCTGCACCGCCTTTCGGGCCGCCTGCAGAGCAAACACACACAACAGTTTAGTCAGATTACTGCTGGTGTTGATTTAAGATGTGGTTATGAATCATAGATGCAGATATTTGAGGAGGGTAAAAAAACAGCCACATAATGATGTCAATGATAAATACTGTTGACAGCCAAACAGTTTTCTTAGTTAATTGCCTACTCACAGTGATCTGGTCTTTCAGACTGTCTGCCTCCTTTCGCAATTGCTCCATTTCACCCATGGCGATTGTTGTTAGGCACTGTCACCAGTGGAGACAGGTAGAGATGGAAGGGAAGATGATAAACCTGAAATTAAGAAGAAAAATAAGAAAAGATTAGGACCAAAAAAAAAAAACAGTATTTAGTAAATAAGATAAAGCATGTGATCCGAGTGTCTTTTTCCGTAAAATCATTACATGCTGTAATTGTACCTGGACCTACCTGAGCACTTTTTAACCCTCCCTAGCTCCAGTCTCCAAGTGAGTGCTATTTTGCAAGTCAAACTGGCCCTCGTCTACTTTGCAAACTTTCATAAACAGGCAGGAGCAAACACAGAAACCCACAGAACACACCTATACATGCATCCACATATGCGTGCACACACACACACAAACACACACGGACTGTATGAATATTCAAGCAAGGTATTAACAGTGAAAGTATTTGCTCTTCAGATGATGTGACACTTGTTCAGCACACATATCCTCACCCTGAATGTACACACAAACCAGTATGTCCTGTAATAATGTCATCAGTGTGTATCTCGCTTCAAATTCACAACAGTGACAGACTGTTTTGTGCCATTTGACACCCCGGCGAGCTCTCACCTAATGTTGATGGCTATTGAATTTGGTAATGTGGTGATTAAATGGGCAATGTTTAGCAGCAGAAGCAATCACCTAATGGACAAACTCATACATGTGTGACAAATGGAATCAAGGCAGAGTCATGAACACAAAAGCAGAGACTAACTTTAGAGCAAAGCAGCAAAACAGAACACCCTCATTTTCACTCTCCACACTAACAGATATTGATTTTTATGAGCCTGTTTTCATGGTGCTATTTCCTTTATCTTACCTTATAAATGTGTAGAAGGGAATACCTGCGTTGATCTTATCGTATATGTCCCGGC